TGCCTATGTGTACATATACACCACATGCATGTCTGGTGCCCACTGAAGCCAGAAGAGAGCATCAGATCACTTGGAACTGGAGTTACAGATAGTTGTAAGCCACCACATGAGTACTGGAAGTTGAACTTGAGTCCTCTGCAAGAGCAGACAGTGCTCTCAACTGCTCAGCTGTCTCTCCGGTCCTAGTTTTAAAACTTTTTAAAACATTTATTTATTTTTATTTTGTTTGCTTTGGTGTTTTGCCTGCATGTATGTCTGTGTGAGGGTGTCAAGACTTTGGAGTTATAGACAATTGTTAGCTGTCATGTGGGTGCTGGGAATTGAACTGGGTCTCTGAAAGAGCTGTCAGTGCTTTTAACTACTAAGCCATCTCTCCAGCCCAAATTTTTAGCTTTTTAAAACCAGCCAGATAGCCAGGCAGCCTGGCTGCCTTCCTTCCTTCCATCTTGTGTGTGTGTGTGTGTGTGTGTGTGTGTGTGTGTGTGTGTGTGTGTGATACACATTCATGGAGATTGAATTTGGTTCTCTCTTTCATATATGGGTTCTGTGACTCAAATGCAGGTTGTTAGATTTGGTGATAAGCCATCTTGCTGGCATAATTTTAAACTTTTATAGGACAGTAGAGCTAAAAAGGAATATTTTCTCTGGTCTTCTCAGGAAACTGAAGAGGTAGGATGATTTTTTCAAGGTTTTCACTTTTTATATTGTGTGAGAATAGAAGATACAAACAGTTTACACAGTTTACATAGAAATTATATGTAGAAGATACAAACAGTTTATACAGTTTACATAGAAATTGTATGTAAAGAAATATACCTTTTTAAAATAGAGTTTCACCGTGTAGCCAAGTTGACCTGGAACTCATTATGTATTTCAGGTTAGCCTCAAACCTGCACTCATTCTTCTGCTTTAGCCTCTCAAGTGTTAGAATTATAGGTATGAGCTACCATGCCTCGTTTTGTGTCTGAATTTAAAGTTTAACATTTCAAGAGACACAGAAAATAATAAGCACTAATATAAATTATGTGGACAGTTAGCAACCTCTCTACATTATGGCCGTGGTGGTGGTGGTGGTGGATGTATAGCCTCAAGCTCAGCATGTAGTATAGGATGACCTTGGAGTTCTGATCTTCCTGTTGGCAGCACTTCCTGAGTGCTAAGACTGTAGGTGGGTGCTGCCCACTGCACCTGTTGTTGCTAAGATCACAGAGTACCATTAGTTCACTTCCCTTTCTTCTCTCCCACTACTGCCTTCTGCTAACTGGTTGGTTTATAGTCCTCCGTCTTCACTGCTTCCTGTGCTCATAATCTGTAGGCTGTTCTGATTACAGTCAGAGGGACTCTTGATATAATGGAAAATAGTTTCTCTAAAAATCAAATGACAGCATTGATTCCTACTGAAAAAGTCTGTAGAAACTTTGGAACAGTGTAGGGATTTGGAGGTGGTGATTTAGGAATGAGAGGAGCATGTGAAAGGAGAGCTGCTCAGGCAGAGAATCACACTGCTACCAGCAATTTCCAGCTCTGCACAGCCTTGCCTGGTTTTCCTCACCATTGTGTCTCTAATAGCCAGTACAATGCCAGGCTCATAAGAGACACTCAGTAAATATTTGTTAGGTAAATAAATGCCAACTTAGCTTCCTACCCAAGGTTTTGGCATTCACAACTGCCCTTGATGATTCTGAGCTACTGTGTGACTTTCTTCTCAGAGGAAAAGAAGGGGCTGTGAAATTTTGCTTCCTTTGAAACTTTAGGTCTCTAAAGTCTCTTCCTTATAAGTTGAGTACTAATACCCCAAAGTGATTTGTGCTGAGCATGGTCCTCTAGCTTTAAAACATAGAAATACAAGTAACTAAGTAGAATGTGTCTTCCTCATTTGCAGAATGAATAACATGGGGAAATACTATTTATTTATTTATTATTGTTGTTTGACACAGGGTTTTATCAAGCCCAGGCTGGTGTCAAACTCCTATGTGGACCCCCTGCCCCATAAGAAAAAAATGTAACAAAACATTTAAAAAGACATATCAGCTATGATGTATTGAAACTTAAAAAGAAAAGAATCCTTTAAGTTAGTACTTTTAAATATGCAGTAGTCCCCACAATAGGGCTGTGCAACAATCTTCAGCAGTGATGGAAGTATTTTATATATGATATCACAGGCACTAGCCATGATGAGCACGTCAGTTGTAGGTAGAGAAGCTGAGTTACTGAGCTTTTAACCTTACTTGAATTTCTTATTTTTTAAAAAAATGTCATGTAGAACCAGATGTGGAGGCACTTACCTGAGGAGGGAGGATTATGAGCTTGAAGCAAGCGTGAGCCATAGATACACCCTGTCTAAAAAAATTACCATTTAACAACATTGACCCTTTTTAGGTGTATAATAGAATTTTTCCTTTAATCTTTTCTTATTTTTGCATTAAAATTAGAGCTCTATACTTGCTAGGCATTTTTATTCTTGTGAGTGTTATTGATTGTGAATGTTAAAAAAATTCATTTTTGTAAATGTACATTTACATTTTGTGAGTAACCAAATAGAATAGATTCCCATCTTGGTGAGTACAAAAGCTAAAATCAGCACAGCCAAATATAAAGAATTGAAGCAAGATTTATTACCTACAGTAGCGAAGGTGATGGAGTAATTATTTCCAAAGCAGTGCTTGCCTGTTACCAAGGAAGCGTGAGGATTTTTATTCAGGAAGCCGCCACTACCCGACTCACCCCGTCATCTTCTATACTGCCTTTGCAATGATTCTTTAAGATACAGATCTCATGTCATCCCCCTGTGTAACTTTTTCATGGCACTCTCTTACCATTAAGGTAAATTACAAACTTATTGACATAAGACCCCATAAGTGCTTAATAATGTTAGCTGTTCCTTGTTTACATTTATTTTATAACTTACTACTGCTACAAAGAATTTTCCTACTTATAAAAACCCTGAAAGAGCCGGGCGGTGGTGGCGCACACCTTTAATCCTAGCACTCGGGAGGCAGAGCCAGGCAGATCTCTGTGAGTTCGAGGCCAGCCTGGGCTACCAAGTGAGTCCCAGGAAAGGTGCAAAGCTACACAGAGAAACCCTGTCTCGAAAAACCAAAAAAAAAAAAAAGACCCTGAAAGATAATGCCTCGTGTGTGTGTGTGTGTGTGTGTGTGTGTGTGTGTGTGTGTGTGTGTGTGTGTGTGTGTACGTACTGGGAATTACATCTAGGGCATTACATCCAGGGTCTTGTGCATGCAAAGCATCCACTCTACCACTGAGCTATATACTCCATCCTTTAATTAATATTTTTAAGGGATTATACTTTATATTACCTTATATTTTATATTTAAAAGGTTTTTTACTTATATACACAGATGTGAGGGTTCGTGGGTACTCAAAAGAACATTCTCCCTTTTCCTTTTGAGGCAAGTTTCTTTTTACATTTTTCTCAGCTTTGGAAGCCAGCAAGCCCAACAATCCTCCTGTCTCTGCCCCACTCTGAGCTAAGCTAAAAGCTGTGTGTTGGATGCCTGGATTGTGATTTAGGTGCTGGAATATGAACTCCGGTCCTCATGATTGCACAGCAGATGTTCTTAACTACTGAGCCATCTCTCCATCCCTACTTTTTATTTTCTATAGTAGTCCTATTTCCTCTATAATCTTTTAAATCAATATAATATTACATGTTGCAGCAATTTATGAAAGGATATGTTAGGAAAGTGTAGTCTATATTCTGTGGTGAAATTCTAGTCTATGTCAGTGCACACTCTTTGCATACCTGATTGGCACCGCAGTTATGAAGGCCTGCACATTGCTCTTTTAGGTAGAGAAGAAAGACAGTTGGTGTTTCTTTCCAACAAGAATAGTAAAGGTGAAAACTTAATTGAGAAACCACTAGTTTCTAGTGCCGTTATTTATTTCATTCTTCTTGAATATGGTATGATTGATAGTCTCTTCTTAAAATTTATTTTTATTTATTTTGTTGAAAATTTTGTACATGAGTATGGATATTTAACTCATTTCTACCCCTTCCTTCCCCTCCAGTTCCTCCCATGTCCCTTTACACTCTCTCTCAAATTTATGACCTCTTTCTTCTTTAATTATTATTGCTACATGTTTACACACACACACACACACACACACACACACACACACACACACACACACTGATGAGTCCATTTAGTATTGCTCATATGTTTAGGGATGACCACCATCCTTGGAGAAGACTGATTCTCCATCTCTCTCAGCAACCATTAGTTGGCTGTATCTCTGCATCTACAGGTGGGACCTTGTGCGATTTCTTCCATCTACACTGGCATGTCAATTGGTATTGTCACTGTGCAGGTCTTGTTTAGACAACCATATTGTTGTAGTTTCATGGATTCATCTTCCTTGTTATGCATAGAAAACACTATCTTTTCTTACCACATATCCTGGTCTTTGGGCTTTTACAATCTTTCTGCCCTCTCTTCTGCAGTATTCCCTGAGCCTTAGGTGTGGGATTTGTGTTGCTGATGTATCAATTGGGGATGTGTACCTCATGGTACTCTGCATTTTGACCAGTTGTGGATGTTCCATAATAGTCTTGATCTGCTGCAGAAATGAAACTTCTTTGATGAGAAGTGAGAGCTACATTTATCAGGGAAGGCCAGTATGTGAACTAAGTGTCCTGGAGCTCGGCATTGGAATGTGAGATGGCTCAGGAGGGCTTGGTTCTTGATCATTGATCATCTTCTTTCTTCTTCCTCCTTCTTCTTCCTTCTTCTTTTTCTTCTCCTCCTCCTTCTGTTTTTTCAAGACAGTGTCTCACTATGAAACCTTGACTGTCTTGGACCTCATTTTGTAGAGCAGGCTGGCCTTGAACTCACAGAGATCCTCCTGCCTCTGCCTCCCAAGTGCTGGGATTAAAGGCCAGTGCCACCACTGCCCATTCTTAATTCCTATGATATTCTTAATTCCTATGTCAAATAGTTGAGCTAAACTAACTTCTGAAATTTCTTTCCAATTTCTTCTAGGTTTCACTAGAAGAAAAAAGTGCAACTATTATTTTTGATCCTAAACTTCAGACTCCAAAGACCCTCCAAGAAGCTATCGATGACATGGGCTTTGATGCTCTTCTCCACAATGCTAACCCTCTCCCAGTTTTAACCAATACTGTGTTTCTGACTGTTACTGCTCCACTGGCTCTACCATGGGATCATATCCAAAGCACATTGCTCAAGACCAAGGGTGTGACTGGCGTTAAGATTTCCCCTCAGCAAAGAACTGCAGTCGTAACCATAATCCCTTCTGTAGTGAGTGCCAGTCAGATCGTGGAGCTGGTCCCAGACCTCAGTTTAGACATGGGAACTCAGGAGAAGAAGTCAGGAGCTTGTGAAGAGCACAGCATGCCTCAGGCAGGGGAAGTCATGCTGAAGATGAAAGTGGAAGGGATGACCTGCCATTCGTGCACTAGCACCATTGAAGGCAAAGTGGGCAAGCTGCAAGGTGTTCAGCGAATTAAAGGTAATTGATCTGGTGTCATCTTTTTGCTTGTTTTGTAAAGCTATTTTGTGTTTTGATCCTTAAACTTTTTGCTTTCTTCCCAAGTATGAGTTTCAAATCCGTGGGCCTGCAATTGCTTCCTACTTCATGGAAGTTGGAGGCGTAGCATATTCCCAGGATTAATGTTAGTGAAGTTAATGATTATAATGAAAGGTTATGAGAGTCTTGAACTTTAGTTTAGTAGAAAAGGCAGCTGCAGTAACAATTTGTGGAGTTCAGCTTCCTGAACAGCCTGCCTGGGGTGTTCTTTACCTCCAATGTATTTCTACTGGAGTGATGCAGAAACGTGGAGACCATAGGAGCAGTGGTCGTGTCTTTTTCTTGTTTCCAGTATATGCCAATCCTATTTTCTGAAAAGCACTAAAGTATCTAAGAGGAAGCATTGAGAAGAATGAGAGAGAAACAGCTATTGACTCTGAAGTGGCCCAGGAATAACTAAGTTAAATATGTTTCTGTTTATTACTTAGTGTCCCTAGACAACCAAGAAGCTACTATTGTTTATCAACCTCATCTGATCACAGCAGAGGAAATAAAGAAGCAGATTGAAGCTGTGGGCTTCCCAGCCTTCATAAAAAAGCAGCCCAAGTACCTCAAATTAGGAGCCATTGATGTTGAGCGCCTGAAGAACACAACGGTCAAATCCCCAGAAGGATCACAGCAAAAGAGCCCATCATATCCCAGTGATTCAACAGCCACATTCATCATAGAGGGCATGCATTGTAAATCGTGTGTGTCAAATATCGAAAGTGCTTTATCTACACTCCAGTATGTAAGCAGTGTAGTCGTTTCTTTAGAGAATAGGTCAGCCATTGTAAAGTACAATGCACGCTCGGTCACTCCAGAAATGCTGAGAAAAGCAATAGAGGCCGTTTCACCAGGGCAATACAGAGTTAGTATTGCAAATGAAGTTGAAAGTACCGCCAGCTCCCCCTCCAGCTCATCTCTTCAAAAGATGCCTTTGAACATAGTTAGCCAGCCTCTGACCCAAGAAACTGTGATTAACATCAATGGCATGACTTGTAATTCTTGTGTGCAGTCTATAGAGGGTGTCATATCGAAAAAGCCAGGTGTAAAATCCATCCATGTTTCCCTCGCAAATAGTACTGGGACTGTTGAATATGATCCTCTACTAACCTCTCCACAAACCTTGCGAGAAGCAATTGAAGACATGGGATTTGAGGCTCTCTTGCCAGGTAATCATCATTTGGCTTTTAGCGACAAGACATTATTCACAGTCACTGAAATTCTACCTTTTTTTGAGATAGGGTTTTACTATGTAGCCCTTGCTGGTGTGAAACTCACTATAGCGACCTGACTGCCCTTGAACTCAAAGAGGTGCACCTGTCTCTACCTCCTTAATGCTGGCATGAAGGGCATGCACCACCACACCAAGCTGAAATCCCACTTTTTGTAAATGAGTCCTATGGCATTAGTCACCAGTGTGTACAAAAATGCCTATGGATATCATGAGCCTAAAAACTTAAAGGCAAACCAAACATGGTAGTTTCTATCTGTATTTGATATACTGTACAAAAAAAACCATGTGAGGAGGTTGGAGAGATTGCTCAATAACAGTGTATTGTTAACAATTTTCTGGTTTATTATCAGTTGTTAAACCCTTACTGTACCTCATTTGTAAATTAATCTTTATCACATATATATGTGTATACACACACACATCATAGGGACAGTATTATTGATAGTTTCATGCACCCACTGAAAAGTATCTCCCACAGATAAAGGAGGATTCCTTTAATGTCACTGTGCAAGTTGTCAGCATGATAATGCCAGCTAAATACAAGCTTAAGAACTGTCCACTAACCAGTTATTCTCTACTTGGGGTTGGGGTTGGAGATAATGGCTAGAAGAATCTGATGTAACTAAAGTTTTATATATTCACTTGGGTCAGATTTTTTGGGGGGACCTGGGTGGGCAGTAACAAAATTCAAAGTCAATGTATTTGTTGAGGGCTTTTAGGACTTTACTGCTCTTAAAGATATGGGTTGGCAGGTCTGGAAATGTGAATTGTGATATATGACAAGGTGGCAGCCAGAGAATAATTAATACCACAAATGAAAAGAAACTTTCCTTTTCCAACAGACACGAACGAGCCATTGGTAGTGATAGCTCAGCCCTCATTGGAAACACCACTTTTGCCCTCAACTAATGAGCCAGATAATGTGATGACACCAGTTCATAGCAAGTGTTACATACAGGTCTCCGGAATGACTTGTGCTTCTTGTGTAGCAAACATTGAACGGAATTTAAGGCGAGAAGAAGGTAAGATGCTTTTGAGTGTTGTTATTTTATGTACTTATTTCCAGATTCTTTCCCATTTGTATTTTGTGGTCATGCTTATAATTCTTCCCAAGACTTCATAAAAGAAAAACCTCAATGCACAGAACAACCCTGAATTTCTGGTAGTTTTTGTTAATGTTATTTCATTTATCTTATGGTCATGTTTCAGTGCCAGTGAAATTTACTGAAAACTTTATAGCTAAAAGAAGTACATAGCATTACTATTATGAACCATGGCTATAATGGACTATGAGAAACTACATTTTTTGTTAAAGCTTTCTCCTTAAAAGTGATAATGAATAAGAGTTAGATATTGTCTTACACATATAAAGCATCAGAGCCAAACTGTATTTGTGTAGAATTACAAAGATCTCTGATCTCTCTTGTGGTAAGAAATCCAAGTTGCTTAGTATTGTGTATTTTAACTTCAGGTTACAGAATCTTTGAAAATCAACACCACAGTTTTTCTTCAGTCACTCAGATGTTTTAGCTCAAATTTATATTCATATTTATAGACATTTCAGTATAGCATAGTAGCTTAGTTAACCATATAGATATGTGATTATGTTTAATGAGACCAAAGTCTTATGTTTAGTACTTCGGCTGCCCTAACCCTAGGTGTCCTGATAGATGTTACTCACAAGGGCTGGATAAGGAAGTGAGGATTAATGTGGCAAGCAATTATCCTGACAATTGAGGAAATAATTTCATCTTTCATAATAAGACCAGAGATTATTTTTTGGGAGATGTAAGACATACATCTTTGGTTCATTGTGCATTATTCATTTCAGCCCCCACTTTTCCTGACTGGATATACAGTCAAGGCTTTGTTTGATTTATTAAAAAGGAAAAGAGTGGCAGAGGCAGATAGCTCTCTGTGAATTTGAGGTCAGCCTGGTCTGCATAGCCAGTTCCAGGACAGCTAGGACGACGTAGTGAGATCCTATTTCAAAAAAGAAAAGGAAAGGAGGGAAAGAGAGAGGGAGGGAGGGAGGGAGGAAGGGGATAAATGAATGTTGACAAGCAAATGAATGCAGAGGAAGTTTGGTCAGTTCCTATTTGAGAAGCATTACAGAAATCTTTTCATGAGACAATGTCAATGCCAGTTATAATTGTCTGCTCAGGGCCTCGTGAAAGCTAAATACATACTGTTTCTAAGGAGATTTTGGAGATTCATATCTAAATGTTTGCACACAAAGTACTAGGGTGTTTGGGATTTACTTCCACATAATCTGGATAGAGGTCTGGGAGTAGAATCAATAATAGTATAGATAAACAAGACCCAGTTGTTGTAGCCCCTGTGCTCCTGGCCATCTGGGAGGCTGGGGCAGGAAGACAGCTTGTGTCTAGGAATTTTATGTTAGCCTGAGCAACAGCAAGATTCTGTCTCTAAAAAAGAGAAAATAAAATAAAAGGATGAGCCAGGTGTGGTGGTGCATGTCTTTAATCCTAGCACTCGGGACACAGAGGCAGGTAGGTTTCTGTGAGTTCTAATCAAGGCCAGCCTGGTCTACAGAGCAGGTTCCAGGCCAGTTAGGGCTGCATAGTGAGACCCTTCCTTGAACAAAAACAAGTGAGCCAAGTGTTATTGATAATTGTTTAAGCTCAGTGAAGGTGTATCATATTGCTCTCCCCTTTACACATATATAATTAAAACTTTGTATAGTAAGTTTAAGGAACTAAGGCTACCTTTAAAAACAGTTTTAAATTGTTTGGGTTTAAGACTTGTATAAAAAGTTGAGTAGTAAATTTCTGCAAATTTTCCTTTAATACTTCTGCAGTTAACTAAAAATATGAGAAGTAGCTATAATATCATTCTTTTTGTAAAACTTAGTACCTGCATTGTTTTTCTTATCCATCTTCCCAGGAATATATTCTGTACTTGTGGCCCTGATGGCTGGCAAAGCAGAAGTAAGATATAATCCAGCTGTCATCCAACCCCCAGTGATAGCAGAGTTTATCCGAGAGCTTGGATTTGGAGCCACAGTGATAGAAGATGCTGAAGAAGGGGATGGCGTTTTGGAGCTTGTTGTAAGTAGGAACTGTTGTATGATTAATAGACTTCTGACAGGAACTTGGAGCAGCTTTCACAGAAAAATTGTGTAGGTAACTAAAAGCTTGGGAAATAGGGCATATAATGAAAATGAAGGGAACTAGAAGATAGAAGGCTATGATTTAATGGCAATCTTCAGGCATGGAAAAGAATCATCTTTTAAAAACCGAAAATGGGGGTGGGGGCTGGCAAGATGGCTCCGCCAGTGAAGGTGTTTGCCGATAAGTCTGATGAGCAGAGGTTAGTGTTTGTGACCTACACGGTGAAAGGAGAGAACTGACTCTGCAAAGTCATCCTCGAACACCATATGTAAATAAATGCATGAAAATAGTGGGTGTGGTTGTGTATACTCATAATCTCAGTATTGGGAGGCAGGGACAGGAGGATTCCTGGGAGTTTGAGGTCAGCCTGGACTACATAGTGAAACACTGCCTTAAGGAAAGGGAAATGAAAGAAAAAGGTAAACTAGCTTTGTACCAGAGTAACTCTAGTGTAAAGGAAAAGACTGAGCCTGATGGGTTTAAAAAAAACAAGAGGGCACAAAAAGTCGGGTAGAGAAGAGGGTGTGGATGTAGAAAGAGTTGTGGCGAGGGCGATATGATCAAAATACTTGTATGAAATTCTCAAAGAACTAATGAATTAAATAAAAATAAAAATTGTAAAACACAAACAAAGTATATTTATTTTATTGAAAATAAAGTTCTTTTCCTACAGTATATTCTGATCATGGTTTTCCCTCCCCACATCTCCTCCAGATCCTCCCCAACTTCCAAGTAGAAAAGAGACAGGCAGATAGAGAAGACCAACAATAATCAGACAAAATGGATGAACTAGCAAAAAAGAAACTAGTAAAGAGCACGAGAAAGGCATGCACGTGGATACACACACAGACAAACCCATAAAAACACAAAATCAGAAGCCATAATATACTAGAAAAAGATCAGGAAGGTTAAAAAGAAAGTGTAAACAAAGCAATATGAGACAACAAATATCCAAAAGTACTTTTGTTTGTTTTGTGTTGGCCATCTACTGTGGGGCATAGGGCCTGCACTTAAGGGAGTTTGGCTACACAGAGACTCTTGAAAAGACTAATTTTTCCTTTACCAATGGTTGTTAATTGGAAATAACTTCTTGGTTGGGAATGGGAGCTCATATCTACTTCCCCTAAATAATGAAACCATTCCTCGCTAAGAAATGTTCCCAAGAAGGAGGCTTTTTGCACTCATTCCGGTCATGTGGTCAGGGCAGACATTCTTGCAGGGGCTATTTCCAGGAACCACCTGACAGGTGAAATGGTAACAGTTCTCTGGAAAGGAGGCTCTGAATGAACTCTTTGTTCTGGGATGTCCAGTGCTACACTGTTGCTTTTCTTCATGGTGTGGGCCCACAGATGGAGAGGAAGAGAAGAGAATGCAACAGATTGTAATGCCTCACAACTTGCTGTTTTTATCAAAATTCCTCTGGTTTGGTTTTGAATAAATGCTTCCTGGATATCTACAAGATGAAAAACAAGTTGGTTAAGACAGTTAAAAATTTTTCTTGCTTTTATGGAGGAATTTTAGAGGTATTTAATTAACTTTTTACTTACTTAAAATAGTTTTATTTGTATATATGTGTGTGCATTTCTGTATATATTCACATGTGTGCAGGTACCGGCAGGAGGTCAGAAGAGGATGTCAGATTCCTTGGAGCTGGAATTACAGGCAGTTGTGTCAACCCACTTGGGTCCTCTGTAACACCAGCAAGTGCTCTCAACTACTGAGCCATCTCTCTAGCCCTTATTCACTTAAAAGTTTTTAATTGGTCTGGTCAGATGGCTTAGCAGTTAAGAACACTGGCTGCTCTTCTAGAAGACCCAGGTTCAAACCTCAGCACCTACATAGAGGCTCACAACCATCTATAACTCCAGTCCCAGGGTATTTCGCACCCTCTTCTGGCTTGCAAGGGCACCATACACACATGTGCTACAAAGACATATATGTAGACAAAACACACCCATACACATAACATAATTTTTAAAAGTTTTGTGTGTGTGTGTGTGTGTGTGTGTGTGTGTGTGTGTGTGTGTATGCATGCTTAAATATATGTCACATGTATTAGGGTACCCTTGGAAGCAAGAAAAGGTGAGTTTTGTGTTCAGCTAGAGATACTGCCTCAGTAATCCCAGTCAATAAAATAGAGTAGTTAAGTAAGATACTCAACTTCAACCTCTGGCCTCTACACATGTGTATGCATGTAGACACACAACTTCCCACACACGAACACATATACATGCACACCATATATGTATACAACAAAAAATAGAATTCTTTATTAAATTTTTATCAAGATAAGATATAACTTACATACTGTATAATCTACTCATTAAAGATGTACTACTCCATAGCTCTTAGTATATGTGTAGCATAGTACAGTTATCTTTAGAACCAATTCTGGATCTTTTTCATTACCCCTGAGAATACATCAGAGCTGACAGTCCCTCATAAAAACAGAATTCTAATGATCATATCAAAAGTACACTAAGTACACAGATAAAACCTTGTAAGATGATCCTGTGTTATGATAGTCCTTTTAGTTAGAAGTATTAACTCCGTTTTAATTGAAGAAAAGAGATATTTTCAGTAACAAAGGCTTTGTTTTTAAACAGGTGAGAGGAATGACATGCGCGTCCTGTGTCCATAAAATTGAGTCTACTCTCACAAAACACAAAGGAATCTTCTACTGCTCTGTGGCCTTGGCAACCAACAAAGCACATATTAAATATGATCCAGAAATTATTGGTCCCAGAGATATTATCCATACCATTGAAGTAAGTACCGTGACTTTGCTTTTCTGACTTACCTTTCCTGTCAACTACTTCCTGGAATCACATCTGGTTTACATTAGAGACAATGAGAAGTCTCTAACCACTTTGACTATTCCACATAAGAACGTTAGTGTAAGTGTGTCTGCTTTTGTTTCCCCCCACCAATGACCTTCGTCAGGGAAATTTAGGCAAAGGTGCATTTGCACTATTAAATCGTGAGCAGACTTAAGCTGAAACGAACAATCAAAGTATTTAGTAAAAGGATATAAAGTGTAATTTATAAGGAAAGTCCAAGCTAATCACTATGAAATTAAAGCATCATGCTAGATGTGTTATGGCTTGTTAAAGCAAAGCAGAACAAAATAAAACAGAACCACTTGAAAGTTAAAGTAAAAGTTAAAATGCCAAACCTCTTCTTTGTGCTAAGTTCGTCTTGTGTTCTTCAGTGTGTCTTAAGCAGTAATACATATAGGTGCAAAGTTTCAGTGTGCTATGAAATTGGTGTTCTGATGACTAAAAAGCATATTAGAATTGAGTGAATACCCGGTCTATTTAGGCTGCATTACCATTGACATCTGTGAAGCTGCCGTTACTGAGTACCTACCGTAGCCACCCTCAGCAGGTACTCAGTAGTGCTGCCAGGCTTCAGTTCTGAATTCTCACAGTAGGGCTGCCATCTTATTTCAGAGGTGAAGCAACTTGAGAAGTTATTTATTGGTCCTGATTACTCTGCCTCCAGAGCTCACATGCTCTTTTCACCATGTTCCACCGCTAAACAGCTAGAAGATGGCAGCTGTTTCCCTAGCAGTTGAAAACACGGTGTCTGTAACTGTCTGTGTATGTGTGCGTCTTACTTTGCTGTAGTTATCTGTTTATACTTAGTCGTACTGGGGAAAAGGATTTTTCCATGTTCTTTTTATGGTGGAACAAGAATGAAAACTCTGCAGGAAGGCCGTGGTCAATGTATGTAATATAATGCTAGCTTTTGTGCACTGTCAGTGAAAACCTCTACTGTACGTGAGTGAAATTGCTAGTTTGAGAGCAGCAGAATAGACAGCTGCTGAAATCAATGAGCTATTAATGTCTTTGCAAAATTAGAAACCAAAGCAGTCAAGGGCAGAAAGCTCTGGACAGCTTCATGTTTCTAGTCCCCAGAATGACTTTTACTCAGGAATTGAACTGAATTGTTCTATGTGATAACAGCATGGTTTAGAGTATCTCTGCATTGAGTGAAATGACATTTTTCTTATAAATTTTCTTAGAGCTTAGGTTTTGAAGCTTCTTTGGTCAAGAAAGATCGGTCAGCCAGTCACTTAGATCATAAACGAGAAATAACACAGTAAGTACTTGGATATTGTCAATAAAAAGCATTTCAATTCCTTTTAGAAATTTAACAACCTGTTAGCATGTCAATTTTTACTATAGCATTTTTTAAGATTTACTTTAAAAAAATTATGTATATGTGTATGTGTGAATGTATGCCACATATATGCAGGAGCCTGCGGAGGTCAGAAGAGGGCATTGGATCTGCTGGTATGGGAGTTATAGGTGCTTGTGAGCTGACATGGGTGCTGGGAACTGAACTTGTGTCCTCTGCAAGAGCAGTAGGAGCTCTTAACTGCTGAGCCGTTGCTGCAGCCCCACTTACACTGGGTGAGATGGTTACAATCTGGGTTGCTCTATAGTGCATAGAATATTTAACTTTTAAGTACTCACTAAAATGTGTTTTTTCTTTTAAAAATGTTTCCCATATAAGATGGAGAAGGTCTTTCCTTGTGAGCCTGTTTTTCTGTATCCCTGTAATGGGGCTGATGATATATATGATGGTTATGGATCACCACCTTGCAACTCTTCACCATAATCAGAGTATGAGTAATGAAGAAATGATCAAGATCCATTCTTCTATGTTCCTGGAGCGTCAGATCCTGCCAGGATTGTCCATTATGAATTTGCTGTCCCTTTTACTGTGTCTACCTGTACAGGCAAGTAACATATTAGCAAGTATATTCGTTAATAAAGAAAAAATAACCAAAATGTGGTAGGCACTGTTATTTTCCATTTTTAAATAGATAACAGCTAGAAGTCTGATCATTTTATACTGGTTACTTTATGAATAATTAAAGTAGCTAATATATTCCATTTAATCCCTGAGAATATTATTTCATAAAGTAGAGAAAAAGTTTGATTTTTGCCGGGCAGTGGTGGCGCACGCCTTTAATCCCAGCACTCAGGAGGCAGAGGCAGGTAGATCTCTGTGAGTTCGAGGCCAGCCTGGTCTACAGAGCGAGATCCAGGAAAGGCGCAAAGCTACACAGAGAAACCCTGTCTTGAAAAAACAAAACAAAAAAAAAAAGTTTGATTTTTTTTTTTAAAACCGGGTATTCCTGTCTGCTGTCATGTATAATTTTATATTTCTTTTTGATTCTTTAGTTATTTACTCTCTACACTTTTCTACCCTTATTTTGAGATAATTTTTGTTGCTGTAAAAAGTTACACTTCTATTTAATAAGATTTTCCCCTTTATTTGATCTCCATTAATGGTTTAAAAGTGAGGGCTAAGGATGTAGTTCGGTGGCAGTATAGTTCTAGTATACTAAGAGCTCCAGGTTCAATCTCAGCACCACCAAAAAAAAAAAAAACAAAAATAAAACAAAAGGTAGTAAAAAGTACTAGCAACTAATTAATGCCAATTGCACTAATGAAAGACAAGCTCTCCTGTTATACTTCTCAACAGAAGCCACGGCTTGAGATTGACTTTTGGAAAGGGGCTAAGTTTTATATATTTAAAAATGCCCTTTAAAAAAGTATAAATTGGTTTCCTAGTTTACTTGTTTAGACTAGCATCACAAAGAAGAATGCCAGAGCCATCTGACCTTCTTTATGGTATGAAGTATCCTCTGGATCATAGAGGATGTCCCTTGCTGTCTTGCACAGCAGTTTGAAGCCCTTGTTCTGCACATAACTCTGCTCTAGCTCAAAATCTCCCCCTTACAGCCAGATGTAGTGGTGCATGCCTGTAATCTTAGGAGTTGGGAAACAGAGGCAGGAGGATCTTGTCAAGTTCAAGGCCAGCCTGGGATATCTATGAGGCTCTATAACAACAATAACAACAAAATCCTCTTAGTGTTTATGGATTGGATAAAGGCAAAGGATGCAAACATTGATACCTTATTATGCTAAGTTTATTTAGGTATACATATGCATTTCAGTGTCTAAATAAATCCAGTAATTATCACTCTTCTCTTACAGTTCTGTGGAGGCTGGTACTTCTACATTCAGGCTTACAAAGCACTGAAGCATAAGACAGCAAATATGGATGTGCTGATTGTGCTGGCAACCACCATTGCATTTGCCTACTCTCTGGTTATTCTTCTGGTCGCAATGTATGAGAGAGCCAGAGTGAACCCTATTACCTTCTTTGATACACCTCCTATGCTGTTTGTGTTTATTGCCCTAGGTCGATGGCTGGAACATATAGCAAAGGTAAAGTAAGAAAGGTTACATTTATTAAAATATTGGATCAAAGACCTTAATATCTTCTAGACCATTTATTAGAAATATGTATTGATTTATGTAATTAACCATTTTAGTTTTAACAGTATCTTCAGGAAACATATCAAATTTAAATTACTGCCGAGGATAGTATACCCATGGTACTTTATGAGAGACATTTGAGAAGTACTTATTTATCATATCAGATTATTAATTGAGAACTGACTTGGCCATGTGGCTTGAAACTGTTGTCAAAGGCCATCCATGCTCCCATGCTGTGATGAAAGTCAGTTTCTAATCCTGTTCCATGTAACTTTATGTTAGCAGAGTAGAAAGCACTGTACAGGTTTTTCCCTGACTACAGTCTAGACAATCACTTGCTATTTCTGTCAAGTCACTGTGGTCTCATTTACTAACCCATTCTAGTTTTCTTCTCAATTTCTTTTCCAAATTTTTGTTTTAGATAATCCTCCACTGAACATATTCATGGCTAATAGTCATCTCCTCTGAGCTGAGTGCCTTAGGAGCAATTAGAAAGGATATGATGGCTGTCTTAAATGGCTTGTATCTTTTCATGATGTCATGCTATAAACTGTGGGAAATTTTGCCAGTGAGGGTCTGTCAGCAAAGTAGTTTTTACTACAGCATTGCATCCTAACTAAATCCTTGCTAAGTTAGTAGATGTTGAATAGAATTACAAGGTGGCTTTAGTTTGAGTTTCTGGATAAACATTTTCCTATATGTTGAGTATTTATATTCCTTCTTGAATGATCTACCTACTCATGTGCTTTGCTCATGTATGAATTAGATTCCTGATATTTTTCTAATAATCATATTTCTTCATAAATTATGCTTGGTACTTTTAAAATGCTCTTTATAAGATATTAGTATTTCAATGTAAATGTTTTTCTTAAGCTGATATTTGAGTGAATGTCTAAGATAATATCTTTAAGGTTTAAATATTTTCTTTCTTAGCATCATTATTGTGTTTTAATTTATAGGGCAAAACCTCAGAAGCTCTTGCAAAGCTAATTTCACTCCAAGCAACAGAAGCAACTGTTGTAACTCTTAACTCTGAAAATCTCCTCCTTAGGTATTTATCTTCATTTCCTTTTGTAACTTGTTTTAAACATTTTATTACATTAATTTTATTGTGGTGAGTACACACATGCAATGGCACATGTGTGGAGGTCAGAGGACAGCCAGCCTGTGGGAGTTTCCTCCTCCCACGTGGGTCCTAGGCATAGCACTCCCGCTGTTAGGCTTGGCAGCAAGCACTCTTACCTGCTGAGCCAGCTTACGGACTCTCTTTTGTAACTTCTTCTGAGCTGTATCCAGAAGGAAGGAATATCATAACCCCACATAACCTGCCTCTCAGATTTAGCAATTATCCCTCTCTTACCATACTTTATTTAATCTAGCTGTTTCATCTTTCTGTTGTTGTTGAAATAGGAAGTAAATACCACAGGGTTTCTCTGTGAAACAGTCCTGGCTGTCCTGGTAGACCAGGCTGGCTTCAAACTCACAGAGGTCCACCTGCCTCTGCCTCCTGAATGCTGGGATTAAAGGCGTGTGCCACCACCACCATCTTTAAGCTTTCTAGGTTTATTGGAGGAGCAAGACCTGAGGGTTCCCACAGGCTGGGCAGAGCTCCACTGTTGAGCTGTGTCTGCTGCCCAGACTTTCCTAGTTCTTGCTAGCCCTCATCTCAGACGCCCCATTGGGAGCCTGTAGGCCCCAAGCCTTATGAGCTTACCTTTGGGATGAAGGGTCTCAGTTTCCCCCATTTCCACTCTCTTAAATACAGCATCTCCCCACCTCTTCTTATCTGGGGTTTCCCTTTTCACAGTTTCAGTTACCTGAGATCAAACACACTCCAAAAATATTACATGGAAACTTCCAGAAGTAAACAATTCATTTATTTATTGATTTATTTATTTTTATGTGCATTGGTGTTTTGTCTGCGTGTATGTCTGTGTGAGGGTGTCAGGGTCCCTGGAACCGGAGTTACATATAGTTGTGAGCTGCCATGTGGGTGCTGGGAATTGAACCTGGGTCCTCTTGAAGAAGAGTCAGTTCTCTCAACCCCTGAGCCATCTCTCCAGCCCAGATCATGGCTTTGAGAGTACGTGGGCCAATCTCTTACCATCCTCATCTTTTAACATAAGGTCTTGCTTTGTGGCTCCAGGATTTTTCTGGTGTTAGGAAACGACTTGAGGTCCTTAAGTATGCCAAGCAAGTACTCTGCCACTGTGTACTTACTTTATTTTTTCCCTTAGTGATTCTTCCTTTGACTAAAGGAAGGAGGAAGGAAGAAAGGAATGACGGAGCTGTCTATTTAAAAAGAAACATAAGATACCTGATGGCAATTATGTATAACTACTAAGGGTCTCATGTAACACAGGCTGATCTTGAATTCACTGTATCTAGCCCAGGATAACTTTGAACTCATGATCCTCCTGCCTCCACTTCCCAAGTGCTGAGATTACTGATGTATGCTACCACGCTTGACTATGGCATTATTTTTTTAAGCTTTCCCTTATTTAGTGATTATTGAATAAATATTTAGAGTATCTGCTTAGGGCCAAGAGTTTGTTCATTACTAATAGTGAGTAAAACTAATAGATAGTTGTTGCGAACATAAATGTTGGTCCTAGGTTCTGGTGGTAGGAATTATGGAGCTATAAGCTTGGCATGATCTCTAGATGTATGTGTGTAGGTTAGACTAAGAAGCAGATGCCATGACACTTTTTATATTAACTCATGTACAGTGAAGAACAAGTGGATGTGGAACTTGTACAGCGTGGAGATATAATTAAGGTGGTTCCAGGAGGCAAGTTTCCAGTGGATGGCCGTGTTATTGAAGGACATTCTATGGTAGACGAGTCCCTCATCACAGGTATGTTCTGTCAGAGGATCGTGACATGAAAGTAAGCAGACACTAAAGGAGAACCAATAATATATAAATCATGAGCAAAGAATATCAGCTCTTTAGAGACTACCTTCAGTTTCCTAGGGTTTACTATGTTTTTAGGTATGTTGTTGAAGACTAAGCATTGAAGATTCTTTTTTTAAAGATTTATTGATTTTTATTTATGCGTATGAGTGTTTGGCCTGCCAGTGCTCCTGTTGAACCATTGCCCAAGCACCCATGCTGAAGATTCTTAATTACTAGAATGCACAAAAACAAAGTTATTCAGTGCCTTGTAGAACCAGGTTGATTGGCAAATTTCCCAGGGCAGATAAATATTCTATTTTCCTGCCTTAGCAGTTGATGTAGTCAAAGCTAGACCAGAGCACCAAGTTTTCCACATCAGGGCACCTTGAAGAAAGCAGGACTGGAAGATGTTTAGAAATCTTGGCTAGCAGAGTGGATCAGAATCAAAATAACAGCTCTCCCACCTCTGGTAGTCCTAACAGAGGCTCAGTTTATTTATTAATTCTGGACTTTGTTTCACAGTGGTCTGCTATGGCCAGTTTGGATGAGAAGTTTTTAGTTCGATGTCCTGGGCTATAGAGTATAATGTAGTGATACTGACCCTGCTCTCCTAAGCAGTAGTAGCAGCACCCTACTCCTCCCCCACACTGTTGCAAAGAAAAACACGCTCCCACATTTCCAAATGCCCTTTGTGAACTTCTGCTCTAGGAGTAGAGGGAAGCTCCTAAAGTATCTGTCAAACAAGAGCTAACATCGTAAGCTTTTCCAGTTCAAAGTCTAGTTCCCTGTGTTTGGCCTAAAACAGGTGAGAAAAAGGAAGGGCAATTTTACCTTTGCAAGTGTCCAGATTCTAGTTCGAGAAGAATGTCTTTTCTAGGTATTTGTTGATAGTGAATGCATAACCCTATGTTTCAAGAGGATAGTAATCATTTTTGTTCTCTGATTTTTTTTTCCTCTTCCTTCAGGGGAAGCGATGCCTGTGGCTAAGAAACCTGGCAGCACAGTGATCGCAGGTTCCATTAACCAGAATGGATCCCTCCTTATCCGAGCAACCCATGTGGGAGCAGACACCACCCTTTCTCAAATTGTCAAACTTGTGGAGGAAGCACAAACATCAAAGGTAACCTAGTCCCCTAGGAAAAGCAGCAGAAGGTGTTTTCTTTAAAGCTTTCTAGTATGGATCTTGATGTGTATTTTCTTTTGATCTACTTGCATTCATGTGGAGTTTATTAAAACATTTGTCTATGATAACTACCAAATATATTCTGTATTCAGTATGAGAAAAGAGACTTCAAGACACTCATTATTATTATTCTAAATTCTAGGCTCCTATCCAGCAGTTTGCAGACCAACTCAGTGGCTACTTTGTTCCTTTTATCGTCTTGGTTTCCATTGCTACCCTCTTGGTGTGGATTATAATTGGATTTCAAAATTTTGAAATTGTGGAAACCTACTTTCCTGTAAGTGACTTGCAACAACTCTTGACTATCTGCAAAACACTTTGTGAGTCTTTATAGAGCTAATTAAGTAAAAATAATTTTGAGGAGCTGGAAAAAATGGCTCAGCAGTACATACTGCTCTTGCAGAGGCCTGAGTTAGATACCCAGCACCTACATTGGGCAAATCACAGCCATCTGTAACTCCAGCTACAGCAGAATTTGATGTCTCTGGCTTCTGAGTGTACCTGCGCTCATCTTCACATACCTACCCACAAATACAGACACATAAGAAAAAAAAATAAATGATCTTGGGATGCATGCCTTTAATCTTAGCAGTCAGGAGGCAGAGTGAGGCAGATCTCTGTGAGTTTAGGGCCAACCTTTGTGACTACCAGACCAGCCAGGGGTGAACAGAATAGACAGACTTTGGAAATGAGCAGTATTGTCTGAGAGTGTAGGTGGTGGAATGCTGCTCAGAGTTTGTTAGGCCCTGAGTGTGTATCCTCAGTGTCAAAAAGAAGGAGAGGGAGAAGACGGGAAGAAAAGAAAGAAAAGGAAATGAGACGAGAATGGAAAAGAAAAGACAAACCTAAAGAAGAAATTCCCAGTATAACACTCCCTCCTTCACTTTGGGAATATATTTTAAGAGCCCCAGTGGATGTCAGAAACCACAGATATTACCTAATGTTGTATGTGCCACCTCAGGCCCCTATACAGACCCCTGTACTCAGATTGAATGCCTTTTCCATCTTAACTAAGCACTGTCATGCTCTGTGCTTATGACCTGTGTAGTTCTGAGATATGACAGCAAAACCAGCACAATTTTATGTTTTGTCCTTCACATTTTTGTGAATAGAAGATTTGTTATTGTAGATCCTAGCTAAGCTTAGCATATGATTTTTTTTCTGTCGTTATAATCAAAAACTTTCCTCTTTTCCCTTAGAAGAAGCATATTTGGCATCTCTCTGTCATATCTAAATTGTCATCATGACCCTTTTACACTTTGGGAACACAATTGAATAAAACAAGGGTTCTACACAAGTGCGCAATACTTCAGTAACTATTTAATAACCAGGAGACAGCTAGTAGGTTGCTAAGGGCAGATGTTATATATGTAACATGGGTGTACTGTTCAGATAGGACAGAATAATATTTCAGTGTGCTCGATAGTATTTTTGAGACAGGCTCTCACCTTGTAGCCCTTGACTGCTCTGGATTTCTCTATGTAGACGAGGCTAGCCTTGAACTTCTGCCTGTCTCTGTGTCCTGAGTGCTGAGACTAAAGGTGTAAGCCAACATGCCTAGCTGGTAGTGACATTTTATAATGCTCATTTTGCATAACTTGTTGTGATGAGCCTCACTTTATTTATTTTACTTAGGCAGTCTTTAATGGAAGTTGTACAAGAGATTCCTCTACTCCTGTATCTTCTCAATCATTTCTAACTTGTTGAGACTTGGCTTTCCTTTCCAGGATTTTTTTTGTAGTCTTTGTCCGGCTTTAGCCTGGTGCTAACCACTTTGCTGAGGTGGATGCCCACATGGATGACAGTTGTGTCATGAGCCTTTTCTCGCTGCACTCATTCAGTGTAGATGACATATTGCTTCCTGTGCACCTGGACCACTTGGCCAAACTGCTGGGATTTGTAGTGTCCTCGGAGTACAAACTTCATCATCCTTTTGAACGGGCATAGACAGAACGTTATACTTCTGTCTCAGCTCTTTGGAAAGGGGAGAAACATGATCTTCCTCCAAATGTGAGAAAAGATGCATTGAAATGCCATTTGCCATTCTTCAGTCAGAAGTCACAAAGGGATTGAAATTCATTTTGGTGGATGTAGATCCAGTGATCCCTCACTTTAGATATATAAACTTATACTCAACTTCTCTTTTTGTCAGTTGCAAAGTAGGGATAATAATGCTTAAGTTAAAAGATTTGAATTCACATACGTGAGAGCACACAACATTATGTGAAAACATTCATATATGATGTATACGAAAGTCTAAGCCTAGATATTTATGAAAATCCCTTCTAACTTCCTATTTTAAAATATTTAAAGACTTATCTTTAATTATGCATAAATGTGTGTATCTTTGTATGGAAATATACATGTGAATGCAACTGGCCGTGGAGACCAGAAGAGTGGTCAGAGCCCTTGAAGCTGAAGTTAGAGGCACTTGTGAGTTACCACATATAGGTTCTGGGGACAGAACTTGGGTCTTCTTCAAGAGTAGTAAGTGATCCTAATCACTAAGCCGTATCATAAGCCTCTTTAAAACTTTTAATCTTTATTTCACTTACTCTGTGTGTGTGACGTCTATATGTGAATGTTGGAACATGCCCCACATGTATGTATGTGGAGGACAGAGAACAGCTTTGAAAAGTTTGATTTGTTTCCTCTGTAATTTCTTGGAACTGAACTGAGGTTGGTTGGGAGGCTTGCATAGCAAGTACTTTTGTCTGCTAGCCATTTGGTTCTCGAAAATGAATATTTAAGTTATTGTCTTTAAAATTTTGTATGATGTCTAACCTATGGCCTCAGTATCAGAGAATCAGAATTTGTTCAAGGCCAAATTTATTGAGAATTGTGTTGCTAATAGTTCTTCTAGATATAGAAGAATTGTGGAGTTCTGTGTTCCTTATTTTTCTCCATAGTTAGTAACTCTGGAATCATCAAAAATGAAGTTTTTACTTTAAGACTATCACTTGTTAACCAGTGTTCATGCTGATTATTAGTAAGAAAATGTATGTCAGTAGCTAGGAAGAATGTGTGATTTTTGACACTGGTGTTCTTTAAACAGGGGTGAGCTTTATTTTGTTTTGCACGCTCTAACTGTAAATGAATAACCAAAGCTCATGTCTTTCTTCTAAAGGGCTACAATAGAAGCATCTCACGAACAGAAACCATAATACGCTTTGCTTTCCAAGCCTCTATTACAGTTCTGTGTATCGCATGTCCCTGTTCCCTGGGACTAGCCACTCCAACTGCTGTGATGGTGGGCACAGGAGTTGGTGCTCAGAATGGGATACTTATCAAAGGTGGGGAGCCACTGGAGATGGCTCATAAGGTAAGAGTCTCCAGAACTGAAATTGCACTATCCAAACTTACACTCGCACCGCTATTGAAAAATAGGGTTCTTAGTTCTTTGCACATGGTTTCTAGGCTGAGCTCTTCTGGGACTACCCTGAGGATTGAAGTAGGAAAGCTGTGATGCTGGTTCTCCTTCAGATTTGCCTTAGTTATGTAAGATCTCTAAGCATACTCCTTCAGCCATTCTCTGACAGCAGACCCTGAATGGAGAGCCTGTAGTTCAAACCCAAGTCTCCAGTACTTGCCTTGGAAAATCTGCCAGGGCTTCCCAGGGTTCTGACTCTATGGGAGCTGCACCTGTTGTGGCAGTGCCTTTACTGCCACCAGCTGGCAGTTTGCAGTTAGGACTTCAACTGAAGCCATGCTCCCACTAATACAATCTTATTACAGTGATATAAAACATATATAGATGCATGGAGGATACAGAACACATGGCTTAGAACGAGTCTGCAACCTTGAATAGCTAGCATTATATATATATATATATATATATATATATATATATATATATATATATATATATATATATATACACACACACACACACACACACACACACACACACACACACACACACATACATACAGGCTAGGACTTTTTAAAACGTGTACGGGTATATTGCCTGCATGTATATTCATGTACCACATGCCTGCAGAGGCTAGAAGACAGTGTTGGATCCCCATGGTACTGAAGTAATAAACAGTTGTGAGCTGCCATGTGGGTGTTTGGAACCAAACTTGGGCCCTCTGGAAGAGCAGCTAGTGTTCTTAACCACTAATCCATCTCTCCAGCCCTAAGGAATTTTGTTAAAGATTAGTTTTTATTTTTATCCATATGTATGAGTACCTGTGGGGCCAGAAGGATGTGTCAGATCCCTTAGAACTAGAGTTACAGGTTGTTGTGAGCTGCTCAACATGGGTGCTAGGATCTGAACTGGGGTCCTCTGTAAGAGCACAAGTGCTTTTAACCACCGAGTCATCTCTCCAGTTCCCAGGCTAGTAATTTTTATAGAAAAAAAATCGACATAATTTCAAGCCCAAAGATAAGGGTTCCCTTTTTTGAAGCTGTTGAGCACCTATCCAAAGAACAAGGACACTTCCTTATGTGACCACAGTACATTTATCCAAACCAAGAAATTAATATTGACAATGCTATTGTCTTAGCTGTAACTTCATGTTCTGTTTTCCTCTGTTCTTTCCATGATACCCTTTACAGCAGTTTTTCTCTTGTCTAAAATGATGCTTTGTCGTTTGTTATTTTTGCTTTTTTCATTCTTTGAGGGGCCCGCCACCCAGCTCCCAAATAATCACAAATAGAGACTTATTCTTACTTATGAATGACTGACCATAGTTTGGCTTGTTTCTTGCCAGCTTTTTTAACTTAAATTTTCCCATCAACCTTTTGCCCATGGGCTTTCCCCTTTTTCTATTTCTGTATATCTTTCTTTCTTACTCCATTGCTTGCTGTGTAGTTGGGTGGCTGGCCACTTGCATCCTCCTCCTTTTCTCACTCCTTCTTTTCCTTCCAGATTTCTCCTTCTATATATTCTCTCTGCCTGGAAGCCCTGCCTATCCTTTCTCCTGCCTTGCTATTGGCCATTCAGCTCTTTATTAGACCAATCAGGTGTTTTAGACAGGCCAAGTAACACGGCTTCACAGAGTTAAACAAATGCAACATAAGGAATGCAACACGTCTTTGCATCATTAAACAAATGTTCCAGAGCATAAACAAATGTAACATACCTTAAAATAATATTCTACATTTCCCCCTTTCTGTCTAAATGAAAATGAAGGTTTTAACTTTAACATAGTAAAACTATACACAACAAAAATAGTCATCAAGTAAGAATTATGTTTACAATATTTTGTCCATTTGTAGTTAGCATATTCAGAGAAAATAATGCATTAGCTATCCTAACTTAGTGAATCCAAAGTTTTATACCTAATTTACTTTCTATCATGACTAAGGAAAACTACAACTCTTAGCTATCTACTCTTCTACTCCATCAGAGACCCAGAAGAATGTAATATTACCTAACAATGGAGACATTTGGTTGCCTGGACAGTCACTCAAAGTTCCTCTGCTACATTGGGGCATCCATCTTTAACCTACAGGCCCTGAATATCTGGCAGACTTTTCAGTGAAGCAGGAAATTTGAAGGACTGCCCTGCCTTGTGTTGGCAAATTTCATCAGTCACTTTCCTCTGTTTCCTGCAGAATATCTGGCAGACTCTTCTGTGAAGCAGGAATTTTGAAGGACTGTCCTGCCTTGTCTTGGCAATGATCAACAGTCTTTTTCTTGTGTGTTCTGCATGTCCAGTCTGCACAGCACATTTTCAGCAGTCAAAGGCAAGAGCAGTTTCTTTGCCCAATGGCTAACCTTGCTACAATGAAAGCAAACTCCATAAGGAGTTTCTTCAATGCCCATCATCTCTGTAGTAAATTGTGCTGCCAGGAGCAGATGTGTCTCATTGTCATGAAAAACCTCAAGTTAACAAAACATTTTAAATGCCATATTCTATAGGTCTTTCAATTATATGAAGACCATCTATCTGTTTAAAGTATACCTGTTTGGGCCGGGCGGTGGTGGCGCACGCCTTTAATCCCAGCACTCGGGAGGCAGAGCTAGGCAGATTTCTGTGAGTTTGAGGCCAGCCTGTTCTACAGAGTGAGTTCCAGGAAAGGCACAAAGCTACACAGAGAAACCCTGTCTCAAAAAACCAAAATAAATAAATAAGGTATACCTGTTTAACCTTGAAAACATACCTAATAATGACTACCAATTTGATTATTATAGATTAATCACCAACATCATTTCTCAATTATACATTGCATTTTCAAATGAACTGCATAAGCACAATACCCCAAACAAGAGTAAAAACACACATTCAGTATAACAAAAATAACTTTAAATTGATAATATTTGTATCAATATACAGAATCCATGCCAATGCAAAATATCTGAGATTAATAGTTGTCTTTTTATCCTATATTCCTATATTCCCCTAAGTATAACAAACATCCATAACCCACCAAATAACCAAAAACCTCCCACACCCCTATTGGGAATGTGGATGTTGTGTTCTCCAAACTGCTCCCTGCTGTCTGTGGATGAAGTATTTCTAGGGTCCCAGAGAAAATTTGAGATAATGATCAAGTCCTGGAAAGGCCAGCAAAAACCTTTGTTGATAGATACCACCTGTCACATTTTAGGAGGTCTCCCTTGATCACACCTGATCAATATCGTTCCTGAAGAAATCCATAGCCTCTCATCTCCTATGGGAACAAAACTCCAAATCATTTTTTACTTCCATTTGACAAATATATATTTTTACTTCTTTTTTAAAGTTAAAATAACCCTAAAGTTTCTAGATTGGTTCAGTTTTTCAGTTCAGTTCACACATCCATGTCTGCTAGCAGCTGTATTTTGCTCATCAGCTTTCAAAAAAATTCAAAATTAACACAATAACATTCGGGATCCAGACTCCCTGTGTATTTTCCATCATTACATGGCTTACTCTTTTTAATATTACTTTACTTCTCTTTAAAGACTTTATTATTTTAAAACTATTTCTTTCTTTCTATGACTTATCCATAATCTTTTTATTTCTTTCTTAAGCCTACGCACATTGCAAAACACACTGGAACCTTTTTAGAAGTTTTTCCATCTGGACCTCTTTTACTGTGTATCTTTTAGCCTTTTTTGACCATGTGAGCAAACTTTAAACTGCTAAGCTACAGCTGAGTCCTCTGCACTGTTCTATTGGCTGGCTCTGCCAAGCCTAAAGCTCAAGGTCCTGTCGGAGGTGCATGACCAGAAACTGCATTCAACCTTCCTAGTTGTAGGAAGCTGGTATCTGTGCTGCCACAAGCAGTTTTTACTTAGCTTGCTGTTTCAATTTAGTGCTGCCAGCTGAACAGCAGCGCCTCTTAAAGGAGCTGTGTTTTTTTTCTTTTTTCTTTTTCCAGCTTTCTCAGGCCCTATGGAAATTCAAGAGTCCCACGTTGGTATGCCAAAATGTAGTTGGTTGTTTTTTATTCTTTTGGCTCTTTGGAGCCACGCCACCCAGCTCCCAAATAAATCACACATGGAGGCTTATTCTTAATTATAAATGCCCAGCCTTAGCTTGGCTTGTTTCTTGCCAGCTTTACTTAACTTTATCCCATCTACCTTTTGCCTCTGGGCTTTTACCTTTCTCAGTTTCTGTATGTCTTTTCTTTCTTTCTTATTCCTTGGCTGACTGTGTGACTGAGTAGCTCTCCCCTAGAGTCCACCTCCCCTTGTTCTCTTTCTTCTCTTTCTCCTTCTATTTATTCTCTTTGCCTGCCAGCCCCACATATCCTTTCTCCTCCCTTGCTATTGTCCATTCTGCTCTTTATCCAACCAAGCAGGTATTTTAGACAGGCACTGCAACACAGCTTCACAGAGTTAAACTGATGCAACATAAACAAATACAACACATCTTTGCATCATTAAACAAATGTTCCAGAGCATAAACAAATGTAACACACCTTAAAATAATACTCTACAACATGCTCTGAATGTTATTCTTACCTTTGGTTTTGTTTGTTTTTTTTTGTTTTTGTTTGTTTTTTCGAGACAGGGTTTCTCTGTAGCTTTGGAGCCTGTCCTGGACTAGCTCTGTAGACCAGGCTAGCCTCGAACTCATAGAGATCCGCCTGGCTCTGCCTCCCGAGTGCTGGGATTAAAGGCGTGTGCCACCACCACCCGGCTTGTTTTGTTTTTTGAGACAGGGTTTCTCTGTGTAGCTTTGGAGCCTCTCCTGGACCTCACTCTGTAGCCTAGGCTGACCTCAAACTTACATAGATCCACCTGGCTCTGCCTCCTGAGTGCCACCACCGCCCAGCTTATTCTTATCTTCTTTATATTGGTTCATTGGGCTGTTAAGTCTGCAAGGTACTCATTCTTAGTTTATGGTGAAGTAAGCATGGTCTCTCCAAATTCTTTCCTTTTCCTATGTGGCATAACTTTATCAAACTGCTTTCCTGAGCTTCCTCTTACCAGCCCAAGTTATTAACCAAGACCTAGTCAAGGCAAGCAATCCAGCTGGGTTCCCTTCAGCCTAATATTTACATTTTCTCTTAGTCATCGACTGTCTACCCAGATTTCTCCAATAGATCTATAATTATTAGTATTGAAAGCCTCTGTGTTTTTCCTAGATGCACCAGTGGCATCTCTTAATTACCTATTAACAGCCAACCCATAACTAACGGCTCTAGTTGTTTAACATAAATTCACATACATTTAACAGGATTACAACTTAACTGTTGGGTAGGGAAATTGGTTGCTACAAGAATATTTCTTAATATGTCTTTTGTTCACCCAAAGATGATCAGTTGACGAAGTTGTGAAGCCAAAGGCCAGTTTATTAAAAAATTAAATAGCAGTCTTTTACAAATAAATCTGTCTCTCATTTCTGGGAAGATGATGTCATGTGGGTACATTGTCTTTTTAATCTTTTCTCCAGGTAAAGGTAGTAGTATTTGATAAGACTGGAACAATTACCCATGGAACCCCAGTAGTGAATCAAGTAAAGGTTTTAGTGGAAAGTAACAGGATGCCACGCAATAAGATCCTGGCCATTGTGGGAACTGCGGAAAGTAACAGCGAACACCCTTTAGGAGCAGCTGTAACCAAATACTGCAAGCAGGTACAATTTTATATTTCATATTCATGTTGCCATCTCATATAGGAATGATGCAGACCAAATCTGGACTGGCTTTTGACTATAATTTTTGTATATAATGAGTATGAGGATAAAGAGAATTGTATTTTATTATTTAATTGAATATGTTGGGGTGGGGAATGTAGCTCAGTTGGTATAGTGCTTGCTTAGATGCTTGAGGCCCAGGGTTTGATACCCAGCACTAATAAAGTGAGCATGTTAGTCCATGACTTTAATCTGAGAATTTAGGAGGTAGAGACAGGAGGTCAGAAGTTCAAGGTCATCTTCATTACATAGTAAGTTTGAAGCCAGCGGCGGTGGTGAACGCTTTTAATAGTAATCCCACTTGGGAGGCAGAGGCAGGTGGATCTCTGTGAGTTCGAGGCCAGCTGGATTTACAGAGTAAGTTCCAGGAAAGGCTCCAAAGCTGCACAGAGAAACCTTGTCTCGAAAAAAAAAATGCACTCTGATCTTACCACACAGTAACCCCTGTTTGACATAAAACATTAAAATAGAAGTAATATGTATTAGTCAGACAGTGGAGGCACATGCCTTTAATCCAAGTACCCGGGAGGCAGAGACAGGTGGAGCTCTGTGAGTTCCAGGACAGTCTGGTCTACAGATCTAGTTCCAGGACAGCAAGACCTATACAAAAAAAATCCTGTCCGAAACTACCCCCGCAAAAAAAATCTATCAATGCAATTGCTAGGTCAAAGGATGCTTAAGAATTCATTTTTCGCCGGGCGGTGGTGGCGCACGCCTTTAATCCCAGCACTCGGGAGGCAGAGCCAGGCGGATCTCTGTGAGTTCGAGGCCAGCCTGGACTACCAAGTGAGTTCCAGGAAAGGCGCAAAGCTACACAGAGAGACTCTGTCTCGAAAAAACCAAAAAAAAAAAAAAAAAAAAAAAAGAATTCATTTTTCATGACTGTTACTAACATCCACACAAACGATTGTATCAGTTTGTACCTGCACCCAAAGTTTTGACTTCCTGTCTTCTTATATACTTACCAACACTGTTCTTTTAATTAAAAATTATTACACCATTTATTTATTTATTTATTTGTTTATCTGTTTATTTGCTTATTTATTGTGTTGTGTTTCCGTTTGTTAGGAGCTGGACACTGAAACCTTGGGTACCTGCACAGATTTCCAGGTTGTACCAGGCTGTGGTATTAGCTGTAAAGTCACCAATATTGAAGGTTTGCTACATAAGAGTAACTTGAAAGTAGAAGAAAATAACATTAAAAATGCATCCCTGGTTCAAATTGATGCAATTAATGAACAGTTGTCAACTTCATCTTCTATGATTATTGATGCTCATCTCTCAAGTAAGCTGATTTCTTTGTAGTAGTTTTTAGATTTTTGTTGATATCTTTGGTTTGAAATTTTCTTATTCTTTTTTTAATGAAAATAGATTCTTCTTTCATGCAATATATCCTGACCACAGTACCCCCCCCCACTCCTTCCATCTGCCCCTACCTCCCCTCTACCCTGGATCAACACCCTCTCCAATTCCCATCAGAAAAGAGGAGGCCTCCAGGAGCAGCAACCAAACACAACAAAACAAAATACAATAAGACAAGGCAAAAGCCCCACACCAAAGCTCGACAAGGCAACCCAATGGGAGGAAGAGTACCAAGAGAAGGCAAAAGAGTCAGACATATCTGTTCCTACAGTAGGAGTCCCACAAAAACACCAAGCTAACAGCCATAACAGACAGACGACTTGGTACTGGCCCATGCAAGCCCTGTGCTTGCTGCTTCAGTCTCTGGGAGCCCATATGAGCCCTGCTTAGTTGATTTAGTGGGCGGTATTCCCCTGGTATCCTTTATCCCCTCTGACTCCTACAGTCTTTCTGCCCCCACCCTGTGGGATTCCCTAAGCTCTGAGGGGAGGCACCCAATGAAGCCCTCCAATTTAGACTCTTGCCCTACATAATGTCTGGCTACGGGTCTCTACATCTGCTCCTATCTGCTGCTGGAGGAAGCCTCTCTGATGACGACTGAACAAGGCACTGATGAATGAGTATAGCAGAATATCTTTAGGAATTATTTTATTGATTCTTTTAGACTAGTCATGTTTGGTTCTACCCTAGGTCTCTGGACTATCCAATTTCCTGTTCCTGGCCATCAAGCAGTGTTGGGCATGGGTTTTCTCTCCTAGAGTAGGCTTCAAGTTAAATAAGACATTATGCAGGCAGGATAGATTGTAGGTCAAAGGTTTTGTGGCTGGGTTGTTGTCCACATTTCTCTTTCAGTAGCCTGCAGAGTACCTTCCTGTACCAAAGAAACTAGGATGTAGGGGTGAGGGTTCCATGCAGGCACCAGCTCAACTTCTCCATGTTCAATGAGCTGTGTGGATGCTGTCCTTGGCAATGGGGCCCCGCTGTCAGTTTTTGGAGAGCAACTCTCTGTTCTAGCATCAGCCTGTGTTGTTTAGGGATCTCCATGGCACCCCTTTAGCCAACAACTCAACCAAATGGAACCCAGTCCCACCACTGGAAGCCTTGCCTGGCTAAAAGAGATGGCCAGTTTAGACTCTATATCCCCCATTGCCAAGAGTCCTCAGTAGGATCGCCCTCATAGATTTTAGGAAGCTTCCACTGCACTAGGTTTCCACACCACACTCCAGCTGCTCCCAAATTCTAGCCATCTTTCCCCCACACTCTCTCCTTCCATCCCATCTCCAACCAGCACCTGATCCCTCCCGCTCCCTTCCCCACCTGCTCCCAGTCCACCTGCAAAATCTATTCTATTTCTCCTTCCCAAGGAGATCCATGCATTCTGCCTAGACCCCTCCTCTATACCTAACCTCTCTGGGACTACGAACTATAGCTTGGCTATCATTTATTTAATAGCTAATATCCACTTATAAGTGAATACATACAATATTTGTCTTTCTGGGCCTGTTACCTCACTCAGGATGATTTTTTTCTAGTTCCACCCATTTGCCTTCAAATTTCATGCCATTTTTTTAACAGCTAAGTAATAATGCTCTATTGTGTAAATATTGCACATTTTGTTTATCCATTCTTCTGTTGAGGGACATAGAGGTTGTTTCCAGTTTCTGGCTATTATGAATAAAGATAGCCATAATGAACATAGTTGAGCAAATGTCCTTGTTGCAGGATAGAGAGTCCTTTGGGTATGTGCCCAAGAATCAGGTATAGCTGGGCCTTGAGGTAGATTGATTCTCAATTTTCTGAGGAACCCCCATATTGATTTCCATAGTGGCTGTACACGTTTGCACTCCTGCCAGCAATGGAGGAGTGTTCCCCTTGCTCCACATCCTTGCCACCTGGAGTTGTCACTTGTGTTATTGATCTTAGCCATTCTGACAGGTATAAGACGGAATCTCAAAGTAGTTTTGATTTGCATTTCCCTGCCTGATGGGTAAGGATGTTGAACATTTCTTTAAGTGATTCTTAGTCATTTGAGATTCATCTATTGAAATTCTCTATTTAGATCTGTTCCCCATTTTAATTGGATTATTATTTTTTGATACCCATTTTCTTGAGTTTTTTTTATATATTTTAGGTATTCTCTGTCAGATGCGGAGTTGATGAAAATCTTTTCCTGTTATGTAGGCTGCCACTTGTGATGGTGTCCTTAGCCTTACAGAAGTTTTTCAGTTTCATGAGATCCCATTTATTAATTGTTGATGTCAGTGCCTGTGCTATTAGTCTTCTGTTCAGGAAGTTGTTTCCTGTGCCAATGTGTTCAAAGCTATTCCCCACTTTCTCTTCTACCAGGTCCAGTGTGTCTGGTTTTATGTTGAGGTGTTTGATCCACTTGGACTTGAGTTTTGTTCTGGGTGATAGATATGGATCTGTTTGCATTTTTCTACATGCCAACATCCATTTTGACCAGCACCATTTGGTGAAGATGCTTTCTTTTTTCCATTGTATATTTCTGGCTTATTTATAAAAAAAATATCAGGTGTCCATAGGAGTGTGGATTTATGTCTGGGTCTTCAATTTGATTCCATTGATCAACATGTCTGTTTTTTTTCCAATACCATGAAGTTTTTATTACTATTGCTTTGTAGTACTGCTTGAAATCAGGGATGGTGCTTCCTTCATCCTCAGTATTCCTTTAGCTATCCTGGGTTTCAGATGGCTAATTGTATATAACCTCAAGCTATTGTATAAGAAAAAAATGGACAGCATGATTGCATTTCATCCAATCCAATTTTACCACAGGCCTTCTTAGGACATCACTGTTACTCAGAAACATTTGCTAACTGTGCTTACTGACTTGTCTTAGTTAGGGTCTTTTTTTTTTTTGGTTTTGGTTTTGGTTTTTCAAGACACGGTTTCTCTGTGTAGTTTTGGTGCCTGTCCTGGATCTCGCTCTGTAGACCAGGCTGGCCTCGAACTCACAGATATCTGCCTGGCTCTGCCTCCTGAGTGCTGGGATTAAAGGCGTGCACCACCACTGCATGGCTTAGTTAGGGTTTTTATTGCTGTGAAGAGACACCGTGAACATGGCAACTCTTATAAAGCAAACATTTAATTGAGGGGGCTCACAGTTTCATAGGTTCAGTCTGTTATCATGGCAGGGAGCATAGCAGCATGCAGGCAGACATGGTATTGGAGGAGTAGCTGAAAGTCCTACATCGTACAGGCAACAGGAAGTCGACTGAGACCTTGGGCAGTATCTTGAACATATGAAACCTCAAAGCTCACCCCCCACAGTGAAATACTTCCTCCAACAAGGCCATACCCACTCCAACAAAGCCACACCTTTTAATAGTGCTACTTCCTATGAGATTATGGGGACTAATTACATTCAAACTACTACAACAACTAATGACTCTAGGGTGATGAAGATAAGTCTGAGCTGATCTTCTATGATCTTTCTCTTATTTCTTTCCATAGCTAGTTGAAATTGTACATCTTTCACAAAATCTTGTGGTCCTCCTCTTTCTCTTCTCTGCAGATTACCTTATTTATCCCATAGAAAATTAGAGTTCTCAGGCAGTGTTCTTTATTTTTGTTTGTCTTTTTTCCCAAATGGTCATTACTTTTTCGTGAGAGGAGATAGTCCTCATCTTGCTAACAAGTATCTTTGTCTCTTCTCTAGATCCTACTCTCTCTGAATTCCTCAGGGGCTTCCCTCTGTTATGGCCCCTTGCTTCTTTATATTCCATGTCTCTTCCTGGTGTAGTGTCTCTAAAACATATAAACACTTCTTCCATCAAAACCCACTCTATTTCCCTGAAACTTCAAGACAGAGTAGTCTAGACTTGTTGAATTCACTCACTTACTCCAGAGGCATGTATCAGTTCATTACAAACCCACTCCTGCTCCGTTCACACTATAAAACAGTCTCTTAGGATTGGGGACCCCAAAGCCCACTCCAGTGCTTGCTCCCCACTCTGCATTCTGCATGATCTCACAAGGCAGCTGAGGATATTGGTTGTGCATTCCTCCAAAAACTCCTTTATCCTCTAAATGCATGTCAGTTATCTCTGGATTCTTCTTTCCCCTCCTTGGGCATTCCTTCTAATTTTTCTTTGATTCGAGTATTAGATAGCCTCAATGATTTACTTGGTCTTTGACTTTCTTCTCATTTTCCATTCTTTCCTCTATACAATATCATTCATACCTATCTCTTATTTCTTTTGTTTTGAGTGCTGGGATTAAAGGTATGTGCCTCCTGGCTTCCTATCATTTATTTCATCACCTACAGGTTTTCATTACCACTCCAAATTCTGTATCTCTGGTGGAGATGTATTTCTTGGGTGTCATGTTGGTCAATCAACCATGATCTACTTACCTAAGTGTTCCCAAACCTCCCCAGCCATTTGTGCCCAAGTGATTTTGCTGAAATGCAAATCTGATCATACTACCTTTTGACCTATGACTTTATTTTAGTTGTTTATTGTCTGATTTTTTTTATTGTTTGTGGGGTTTTGTGGGGCTGGTTTTGAGACAGGGTTTCTCTGTGTAACAGCCTTGGCTGTCCTGGAACTCAATTTGTAGACCAGGCTGGCCTTGAACTCATAGAGTTCTGCCTGCCTCCACCTCCAGAGTGCTGGGATTGAAGGTGTATACCACCATGCCTGGCTGCCTGTTTTTGACTTATGTTCTTTTGAAAGAATGTGCTGGAAGTTGTGGATCACCCCCATAATAAGTTATTATTATGTCTGGTTTAAAAGGTTCCCTTATATCCTAGAGCCCTTCCATGGATCTTAATTAAGGATCTGTGATTTTTGTTTGTTTTGAGATAAGTTCTCACTGTGTACCCTTGGCTGCTCTGAAACAGTTCACTATGTCCACCAGGCTAGCCTCAAACTCACAGAGATCCAGTTACCTCTGCTTCCTGAGTGTTGCAAGGCTTGCACACTGTGAGCCGCTCAGAGTCCTTGTTTTCACTGTTCTCACTCGTTCAGGACTTTGGTGTCTGCTCTGCTCTGGTTGGTCTCTTGCCTTCCTCATTACTCATCTGTCTCTCCCTGATGCTCCACTTGTGCTCTATGTTCTAGTGCTATTAGTTACCTACCTATAGTTCCTCCTCCCATTTAATCTTTTATTACTTTTGTCTTGAAAATTTTTCATGTATTTTTATCATATTTCCCCCCCACACACAACTCCTCCTAGACCTTCCCCACCTCCCTACCTACTCAACTATATTCTTTCTCTCTTTCAAAAAACAAAAACACAAAAAAGAAACATCAAAGCAATAAGACAAAAAATGCCCAAACAAAGCAAAATGAAACAAAAAGTCCACATAAATACTATCGAGTTAATTTTGTGTTGGGAACAGGGTTTGCCCTAGAGTGTGGTTGACATATATACTGATGACACTTGTTTGGAGAAAACTGACTTTTCCTTTGACAATGGGTAGCAATTTCAGATAGCTTCTTGGTTAGGAGTAGGACCCCATCTAGCTTGAACCTGTGCAGGTCTTGTGTATCCTGCCACAGTCTGAGTTCATATGTGCAAAGGTCCTGTTATGTCTGGAAGGCACTGTTTCCTTGGAGTCATCTATCACCTTTGACTCTTAAATATTTCTGCTTCCTCTTCTGCATAGATCCCTGAGCCTTGAGGGGAGGGTGTTGATAAAGACATTCCATTTAAGACTGGGTAGTCCAAAGTCTCTCACTCTCTGCATATTGTCCAGTTGTGGGTCTCTGTGTTAATTTCCATCTTCTGCAAGAAGCTTCTCTGATGTGGATCGAGTAAGGTGCTGATTGATCTATGGGTATTGCAGTATGTCATTAGGAGTCATTTTATTCCTGATTCTTTAGCGAAATAATAACCTTAGCCTTTCCCTCATCCATGATCTATCTAGTCTCAGGGTCTTGGCCACTTTAGTAGTGCCAGGTATTGGTTCCATCTCATGGGGTAAGCCTTAAATCTGATCAAAAAGTGGTCAAGTCCCTCCCGTAACACTTGTACCACTGTTGTACTAGTATGTCTTACAAGCAGGTCACTGCTGCAGATTGATTGCAAGGTTTGTTGTTGAGTGGTGATATTGACGGCCTACCTTTCTTCTCCAGTGGCACGCATAGTTAGTACGTACCTTCTAGTACCCTGAACACTAGTCAGTAGGTGCGAAGCTTCTAGTTAGGCACCAGCTGAACTTTTCCATCTTCTATGACATAAGTAAGGGTTGTCTTCAGCAACAGGGCCTTACCAGTAGAGAGCAACAAAATAATCTTGGTAGCAGCCTGTGGTATTTTGGGGGGTGTGCCATGGGACTGCTTATGGCCTGCCATTTCCTACTTGTTATATCATTTCATTTACTGTTTTCTCCATGCAGTGGCCTCACCCACAAATACATCTACCCTGTCGACTTATGCTTATCTTTCTAGACCTGACTTCCATCTTTTTCAGTGACACCTTTGCTGATATACACTGATAGAAATACTTGCTCTTCTTAAATTATAGCTGTACTTCATTTCTATTATATTAGACACACTACAAAATAATTATTTCCTGGCCATTTCTGCTTCTCTGTGACTTCTTTTTATTTGTCTATGGATGTAATATCAAGTAACTGACATGTAGGAAATCACTCAATAGCTTTTTTGTTGAGTATCTACTGTGTGTTATGGACTGTTGACAGCACTTTAAATGATCATCAATGAGGGCGGAGGTGTAACTCAATAGTATACCTCTCCAACAGTTCTTTTCTCCCCTTGAGCTTAGTGTGTGTGAGGCCCTGGGTTTGATCTCCAGTACAACTGAGGGAGGAGATGGGAGTTAGGAGCAAGAAAAGAAGCTGGCAGATGAGTTAGTGGGCTGTTTCCATAACCCAGGCAAAACATATCAAATGGCTCAGACCTGTGTGGTAACAGAGTTTGTAAAACATGATCAAATTCCAGATGTGTCTTGAAGGGCAAGCTGAAAGATTTAATTACCAAATTAGATATCTACAGTGTAAGTAAAACAAGAGTCAATGGACTGGGGAGATGGCTCGCCAGTTAAGAACATTGGCCGCTCTTCCATAGGACACAGGTTCAATCCCGAGCACCCACATGGCAGCTCATAACCGGCTGTCCCTGGGGATCTCATGCCTTTTTCTGACCTACATGGGCACTGCATGCACATGATGCACACACATATATGCAGACAAAATACATAACACATAAAAACTAATTAATTTAAAAAAAATTAAAACACAAGAGCCAAAGTCATGCCAAAGTTAGTCATCTACCCATTTAGATAGATGGAATTACCATTTAAATAGTATAAAGAAGGCCGGGCGGTGGTGGCGGCGCACGCCTTTAATCCCAGCACTCGGGAGGCAGAGCCAGGCGGATCTCTGTGAGTTCGAGGCCAGCCTGGGCTACCAAGTGTGTTCCAGGAAAGGCGCAAAGCTACACAGAGAAACCCTGTCTCGAAAAACCAAAAAAAAAAAAAAATAGTATAAAGAAGACAAGAGGAATGATACTGGAGACAAGAGCAGGAATCCAGCTTTATAAAAGTTACATTTGGATGTCTGTTAGCTATCTAAGTAGAAATATCATATCAATGGAATATTAGGTAGGCAGTTTTCTACAGGGGCCTGAAGATCCTGGGAAAGAGACTGAATTAGAGAAACAGAGTTTGGAGTCATTTACTTTGTAGATCTGTGGTATTGAGTACTATAGTCACTAGTTACATTAACTTTTATGTAAAGTCCAGGTCTTTGATCATTTTGTCCCTCAATAGCCACATGTGTTGGCTAGTGGCCATCGAATCAAACAGCAGGTATAGAGCATTTCCTTCATTGCTGGAACAACTGTTCAAACCTCGCTGGGTTTACTGAAGTCAAGGTCACTGGTGCATTGTGGGAATAGTTTATTGGAATAGTTGAGACTAAAGCTTTATTTGAGTGGGTTCACAAAAAAATGGGAAGTGGTGAATTAGAGACAGCTAGTAGGGAAAATACTTGTCTTGTGCACAGAAGCAGAGAAATGTGACAGCTAGAGCAGTGAGCTCAAGAGAGTCTTTTTCCGTTTTTAAAGATAGGGCAATATGCAGCAGAGATTATAGAAAACTGACTATTCATGAAGGAGAGAAGATCTGGAATAGGCAAAGGAGGGTGACCTAGCATACAGGTAGAGAAAGAGATTGCCTTCAGCAGGTACAGGCTCTGCTTTTTTTTTTTTAAGGTTTATTTATTTATTATGTATACAGTGTTCTGCCTGCATGTGTCCTGGCAGGCCAGAAGAAGGTACCAGATCTAATTGCAAGTGGTTGTGAGCCACCATGTGGTTGCTGGGAATTGAACTCAGGACCTCTGGAAGAGCAGTCAGTGCTCTTAACCACTGAGCCATCTCTCCAGCCCCAGGCTCTGCTTTTAACAGAGGGAAAACAAGCTATGTGCGCCTAGGAGGCACAGGAGCTGGGGAGGTATGGCCATGAGAAGTCCTCTTATGATTGGGGGGAGCATTTGCATCTCGGATGGGAAACGGGGAAGAAAGGGGATTTGAAAGGAGAGGAGATTTCAAATAGTCATCTTGAAGAAATAATGAATGAACTAGGGACATGCAGTCAAACATCTATCCCAACAGAACTAAAAGGCTCATTTAAAATTAGTGGTTACCAGGGTGCGGGAGGGGGGAGAACAAGGGAATCCGTGGCTGATATCTAGAACTGAATTGTATTGCAAAATAAAAATAAAAAAATTAAGCCGGGCGGTGGTGGCGCACGCCTTTAATCCCAGCACTCGGGAGGCAGAGCCAGGCGGATCTCTGTGAGTTCGAGGCCAGCCTGGACTACCAAGTGAGTTCCAGGAAAGGCGCAAAGCTACACAGAGAAACCCTGTCTCGAAAAACAAAATAAATAAATAAATAAATAAATAAATAAACAAACAAACAAACTAATTAATTAATTAATTAATTAATTAAAAAAAAGGACAAATCGTCCAGAGAAAATGGCCAAGAAAAAAAGCAAGTTAGCCTATTGGTCTATCACATTTCCAACAGGATAAAATTTCATAAATCTTCCCAAATGTTAGTTTTTGCTATTCTTTATAGAAATATAATACAAGTTGTCTTTTCTGTAGTCCCAGTTTAGTTAAAAATTAAAGCTTGCTTTGAAGTTGTAAAAAAAAATTAGTGGTTACCAGTTTAAAATGAGACATCAACATATTTGCATATTTACATGTAGCCACATTATCTACTGGTGCACAGTTAAGTGTTTGAATTGTGTTAGAGGGTCACAGGGAAAACCTCAGTAAAAAGGGAACCTCTGAACTAATACATTCTCATCCCCACTCCCCATCTTGCTGGAGATTGAACTTAGGCCTTCCTTCACTCATGCTAGGCAAGTACTCAGCCACTGAGTTATATCCTTAGCCCTTGAACAGTATGATGGAATTTGCTCTTTGGAAAGAAAGCTTAAGGGCCTTTGAGTGATGGTAGCAACATGGGTTCAGAGGTATATGGAAGAGCAGAATGTATTCCTAGAAAACTTGAAAAATCACTGTTACAGGTTATATTCTACCACAAATGCACTATAGTGACTGCAAGGTTAGGCAGGAAGAACTTGCCTCCTAAGATGGATTTAAAGGTTAAATAAGCTCACTAAATGGTTTTTCTGTACTTCTAGATGCTGTTGATACTCATCAGTACAAAGTCCTAATTGGTAACCGGGAATGGATGATTAGAAATGGTCTTGTCATAAGTAATGATGTAGACGATTCCATGATTGAACATGAAAGAAAAGGTCGAACTGCTGTATTGGTGACAATTGATGGTAAAGTTTCCCTGAAATACTCTATGACACAATTGTGATCTCAGTCATTACTTTATGTGTCTGTAGGACTTCAACTATGAGTTTTATTCCAAAGAGGCTTGAATACAAAGTTGAAAATTAGCAAAATATGACTATTATTAACGAAGGATTTCCTTACCAGCTGTTGTGGCACATGTACTTGGGAGCCTGAGATAGGAGAATCAGAATGTTTTGAGTTAAACCAAGCCCTCTATGGCTTAACAAAATTCATTTCTTGCTGCACTTTTATTCTGCTGTGTTATTCTTCTTTCACCATAATCTGTTTTTCTGCTGTTCCTGTATTAGATGAGCTGTGTGGCTTGATAGCCATTGCTGATACTGTGAAACCTGAGGCAGAGCTGGCTGTCCACATTCTGAAATCTATGGGCTTAGAAGTAGTTCTGATGACTGGAGACAACAGTAAAACAGCTCGTTCTATTGCTTCTCAGGTAATGAATTGGTTTACTTAGTTATTGAGGTGGGCACATGTGCTAACATCTCATTCTAAATACACGTTTTCTTTCTTCCGTTTAATTGCTGAGAAAGTCACCTGACCTATTGTTTGCATTATCTTCAAGTAGCTATCCCTAACTGCTTCAAAACCATCAGCATGGTATGGTAGAAGGAGCTTGTCTGTTACAGACGTAAGTGAAAAGGTATTCGCTTAGCTTGTGGGATGTTTGAGTGACACTGCACACTGGTTTCTGGTGATGCTTCCTTTGAAATGATACACCGAGTTTTCAGCCATGCTGCCAGTCCTCCAACATCACCTGTTGTGAAAATGACAGCAGCTGCATGCTCGTTCCTCTCTGATCCATTCTGGATGCCACCAGCGGGACTCTTTCCTTTGACCTACCATTTTTCTTAACCGTACATTTGTTTCACCTCCAGAATTTTTCAATTAGAATGCCTTCTCTCCTCTTCTAGTGTGTATGTGTATGGGGGGTGTGTGTCCATGCATGTGCCACAGAATGTGTAGGTCAGAGGGCAAACTTGTGGGAGCTTGTTCTTTTCTTCACTGTATGGATTCTGGGGACTAAATTCAGATTTTATCAGGCTTGATGGTAAATACCTTTCCCCACTGAGCCATCTTGATGGTCCTCTTCTAGTAAATAACAGAAGGAATATGTGAGTACATTCTTCTGTAAGAATATGAAGGTTGTAAAGAATTTGTATGGGGGGAGGGGGCGGAGCAGGAGCAGGGATGAGATGGGGATCTGTGGTTGGTATGGAAAATGAATACATAATTTCTCAGTAAAGAAAAAAAAAGAATTGGTACCATTTCCACATTCTCTGTCAAGTTCTCCTCCCTTGCTTTTATGGATGCATATATACCGGTATACAAGTACGTAGTTCTGCTTTTTCAGCACTAATTGGATCATTTTATAGTTTATTCAGTAGTTTTTATATATAACAATATTTCCCAGCTCTTTGTTCATGTCTTAGCATCTAAAATTATTTCATTCCTTCTAGACTGCTGCATGGAATTCTATAGTATGGATGAATTATAATTTATGTTACCATTCCCCTAGTGGTGGACATTTAGGTGGTTTTGAATTTTCTGTTTTTGTAAACAGACAGTAATGAATATCCTTGACATCTTTGGACATGAAAGAGTCTGTCCAGATATAGTTAAAAGTTGATTTTCCAGAGCAGATGATGTGCACACTTTGATGAATGCTCTCCCCCTGAGGACAGTGTCATTCTGTACATACAAACAGTACACAAGATTGCTTATTGGCTGTAGATATGGCTCAGCCATTAAGAGAACTAGCTGCTTATTGGTAAAATTATTAAGGCCACTCCACGTAGTTAAAAGGAGATTTATTTAATGGCGTAACTTACAAATGAAGGGATAGGTAGGTCGCGGGGTCTGGGGAAGGTGTATCGCCGTCCAGCGGTGTTCTCTGGAGCTCTGCTCGGTCCACCTCCACCGTCCAGGGTCCCAGAACCGAGAGAGCACCCCGCCGATCCAGATCTCGGGTCTCCAGGCGCCTCCCTTGGCCCCGCCTTGTGGGCGTGACAGTTGCCGAAGTCTCAATGAGGGTTGGAACTTCCAGATCAAAGCTGGAATGGCTACCCACTACAGCTGCTCTTGCAGAGGACCAAGGTTTGGTTCTCAATACCTATTAGTGGTTCACAACCATCTTTTTTTTTTTTCTCACAACCATCTTTAACTCCAAATTCAGGGCATCCAGTACCCTCTTTTGACCTCTGTGAACACCAGGCACATGTCTGGTGTGCTTGCAAACACGCAGGCAAAACATAAAAAATATATAAGTATTAAAAAGAATGCTCACTTCTCCACATTATCACTGGATATTTTCAGTCTTTTAAATGTAAACATCTGGCAGGTTAAAAATGATGGCGCATTATTCTAAGCTCAGCTTTGTGTATAGTGCCCAGCATTACTTCCTGAAATGAGTTGCTTTTCTTCGCATAGGTTGGCATTACTAAGGTGTTTGCTGAAGTTCTGCCTTCCCATAAAGTTGCTAAGGTGAAACAGCTTCAAGAGGAGGGAAAACGGGTAGCAATGGTAGGAGATGGAATCAACGATTCTCCAGCTCTGGCTATGGCAAATGTTGGAATTGCCATTGGCACAGGCACAGATGTAGCCATTGAAGCAGCTGACGTGGTTTTGATAAGGGTAAGTCCTGGAGCGGGCAGTCCTTACACACTAGAGTAGGTCCTGTGTCTGCAATCTGAGGAGTGGGACATTGCTGACATGGTTAGTGATAGTGCTGTAAGGCACACTGTGTAGTGATCCTGCATGTTATGTAGTATTCAATCCTTATACTAGCACACAATCCTCTTCTAAACTTGACTCATGCTTAGCAGTATCTGAAGTTTGTACTGACTTCACATTGTATCCCAAGGCATATGTAATCCCCCTTGTACACAGTGACAAGTAGAGAAGTTCCTAGTGAAGTTAGAGTCTCACTAATATCACCGATCTCTCTCTTCTCAGAATGACCTTCTGGATGTTGTGGCAAGTATTGACTTGTCAAGGAAGACAGTCAAGAGGATTCGAATCAATTTTGTCTTTGCTCTAATTTATAATCTGGTTGGAATTCCCATTGCTGCTGGTATGTGACTTTTAAACAGTTTTCATTTTTGTGGTTAAAGTCATTAGACACCTATCATATTAGAAGAATTAGATTTAGTTTTGACCTTAGTTTTTGCATATACTCTGTTAATTTGGTGAGAGGTGATGTTAAAACGGGTAATGTTCAACAAAGTTCATTACAGCTTAAGAATTTATAAAAGTTTTGATATTTAAAAAAAAATTCAGCCAGCCGTGGTGGTGCACGCCTTTAATCTTAGCAATCAGGAGGCAGAGCCAGGCAGATCTCTGTGAGTTTGAGGCCAGCCTGGGCTACCAAGTGAGTTCCAGGAAAGGTCAAAGCTACACAGAGAAACCCTATCTCAAAATACAAAAAAAAAAAAATTTCCCTGCAATGTTATAATTTGAAATTTTTCACACATAGGTAAACATTGAAAAAATGGTACAGAAAATCTGTGCCTACACACACACACACACACACACACACACACACACACACACACACACACAGAATTAAAATTAAAAATAAGCAGGGCGGTGGTGGCTCACGCCTTTAATCCCAGCGTTTGGGAGGCAGAGGCAGGCGGATCTCTGTGAGTTCGAGGCCAGCCTGGGCTACAGAGTGAGTTCCAGGAAAGGCAAAAAACTATACAGAGAAGCCCTGTCTGAGGGGGGGGTTTGGGGGGGGAGGCTTTGATACAAAACTAAAAAGGACCCGAGCAGTGGTGGTGCACACGCCTTTAATCCCAGCACTCAGGAAATAGAGGCAGATGGATCTCTGTAAGTTTGAGGCCAACCTGGTCTACAGAGTAAGTTCCAACACATCTAAGGCTACACAGAGAAACCCTGTCTCAAAAAAACAATAAGTAAACAAATAAATCTATTGAAACCAAATGTGTTTCGATATGGTAGCTCACATCTGTAATCCCAGCATTTGGGAGGCAAAGGCAGGAGGATAGCAGCAAGTTTAAGGCTAGCCTGGGTTACATAGCATGTTCCAGTTGTCAGAGCTAGACCATAGCAAGACATTGTTTCAAAAAACATAAATTGATAGATGGGCAGATAGACTGACAGACAAATAGATCTAAATTTTTAACTTAAAACAAAAACGTGGGCCAGGTATGATGCTGCATGCCTAATTTAATCCCAACATTTGGGAGACAGCACTTATACAGTTCTCTGTGAGTTTGAGGCCAGCTAGGGCTTCATAGTGAGACCCTATCTCAAAAAAAATATGCAGAAAAAAAGAAAAGAAAAAGCACATGTGTGTGAATTAGTAGAGTATGAGCTCTGGTACACTAGAGAACCAAAGAATATCCACCTACAACTATCAGGATGCAGCTGTTTCTCCCCTGGGATGCACCCTAGGGAAATTCTTAAACATGAGTAAATATGGACAAGAATATTCACAACAGCACTCTACTAAGGAAAAATTGACAGCAACACAAATCTCCACCATCAAGAGGGTCAAATGCTGAAGAAATAAGAAAACAAATTGTGCACGTGTGAGAAATGTGTTGGTAATTCATTTAGTACTGCCTACTCTGATCCCAACTTGTTTGCAGGAGTTTTTCTGCCCATTGGTTTGGTCTTGCAACCATGGATGGGATCCGCAGCAATGGCTGCTTCATCTGTTTCTGTAGTACTTTCTTCCCTTTTCCTCAAACTGTGAGTATGATGACTTGCTCATATTCTAACATCCAGGGTTTCTTAGTATGTTTGATTCTTGTATTGATGGGGTATAGCCAAGTAAGTGTATGTGTGTGTGTGTGTGTGCATGTAAGAATGTACATGTGTGCACGTGTGTGTGGAGGAGGTCAGAGGTTGACATGGGGTGTCTTCTGTTTTTCTTTACATTATATTTTGACGCAGAGTCTCTGGCTGAACCTAGGGTTCAGCAGTTCAGCTAGACTGGAAACAAGTCCCCATGTTCTTCCTGCTTCACCCCCCTACCACTAGGATCACGGGTGCAGGCCATCACACCCAACTTTTATGTGGGTGCTGGGGATCCTAACTCGGGTTCTCGTTCTTGTACAGCAATCATTTTATCTGCCGAGTCATCTTCCCAGACTCTTAAACAGTTCTTAAGAATTACTAGGTGATAATTAATAAATATTGTGTGTGTGGTGGTGGTACACACTTGTATTCTCAGCACTCAGATGAAGGGGCGAGAGAATCACATTTTCCAGGCTAAGCTACATAGTAAAGACGCTGTCTCAAAACAAAAAGAAAAAGCTAAGTAGTTGTCATTTTATGTAGTGGATGTATTACAGACATAAGCCCAGAAAGGGGTGAAGTATCATACACTAGCTTTGAGAAGAGGGAGTTTGGTTTCTGTGACACCATAAAGTCAATTTCAAGCAACTTTCTTAGCAGTAGTCACCTTTGCATATCTCATACTGGGCAAATCTCCTTTTCTTTGTGCACACAACAAGCATCTAGTTAACACTTGGTTGCTTTAAACTTATGTCCAGTTACAGGAAACCAACTTATGACAATTATGAGTTGCGTACCCGAAGCCACACAGGACAGAGGAGTCCCTCAGAAATCAGTGTTCACGTTGGAATAGATGATGCCTCCAGAAGTTCTCCGAGCCTGGGCTTGCTGGACCGGATCGTCAATTACAGCAGAGCATCCATAAACTCCCTGCTGTCTGACAAACGCTCCCTGAACAGCGTTGTTACTAGCGAACCTGACAAGCACTCGCTTCTGGTGGGAGACTTCCGGGAAGAGGATGACACCACGCTGTAAAAGGCCTCAGGGTGCTGCTAGCTGAAGTTCATGTGCACTGACACAGCACTTAGGTTGTCATGGAAGGATCTCATGTCAGTCTCATGCTCTTATGTGCAGGATTCTACCTGAGTTGTGTTGATGGCAAAAGTATCTTTCTCAGGGCAGGAGCTCTGAACCTGGCATTATCCAAAACAAATTCCCAGCAGTTTTTGTTTTACTAGGGACAGAGGGTAGAGCAGCAAGTTTAGAACAAACTCTACAGTTAGATTGCTGACCTGCTGCTAGTATGGCAAATCATTATTTGACCAAAAGAAGTGCCCAAAGACAGGATGATTAAAAATGTGAAGATTTGAGAGCGTGAACCTGAGGATATTCTTGAGCCTGTATCCTTGCCCCACTGGGGAGCAATGGCTTTCAAAGCACTGTACAGAGCATCGAGTTTAGAAGGAAAGCAGTTGCAACTGTTTCACAATGGATGTGCCTTATTTCTTGTGGGTTTGCTTTCACCTCATAACACTTGCATCCTTGTCCTGTAGTGCCTGAGAGCCTCCAGGATGGCTTTTGTCAGCTTTCAAGTGAGCCAGCTTTAGGTGGGTTTTCCTTGACTAAAATTAACTGACCGTAATCACTTGGAGTGAGGCAGGAGGACTGCAAGTTCAAAGCCGTGCTGGGCTGTATACACTAAGACTGTCTCAAACCATTTTTGTAACTGACAGTTTTTCTGAAATCTTCTCTTATTTCATTGTGTCACTCAGAAGACCTTAAGGCGTGCAGAGTTCCCTACCCTTCTGTTTCTCTGCTGTTGTCAGAAATCTCACATTCTTCCCTCAGTTTCCCTAGCTCTGTGCTGGCTTTCAGTTCTCCTCTGCTGAGTCCAGCTTTGTTCAAAGTGGAGCTTTTCCATCAGTCCCTGTCTAGAAACTTCACATGTGAGCCTCTTTCGCTGAAAAATCCATCAAAGATTAACACTATTATTTTAACACATATGGGCCATATCAGAGTACCTGAGTTCACTAAATTCTTCTTTTAGGATACAAACACTTGGCTGGTATATTATAATTTAATAAAAATTTAGTTACCTCTTATGTTTTAGATAATTTATCAAAATGATTTTAGAATACTATCGTACAAAGCTGCTTTTATCAAAATACACAGCAAACTGTAATATAGAAATAAGAAAATCCCTGATTCATGGTATGTTATAGTCAATTATATTTTTTTTTCTTGTTCAGAACATTTGTGCTTGTAAACAAACTCCTACTCTTTTATTTGCATGCCATACTTTAAGCCAATAGCACAATGCCTATGATACATGATTTCTGCCCCCCAAATGTTCATTTCTCCTTTTTAGGTCACTGTTGAATAAAAAGTCCTTTTTATGGAGCAGAGTTTAAAGTGAAATGGAGAACAGTTTCCCCACTCCCCCTCTCTTCTCTCTTCTTCCTTCACACACCTACATGTTTACACTCTTCAGTGCTGTCTTTCCAGATTTGGAAAAGACCTAACTTCTGTCCAGCTGTCGGAGAGACTTTTGATGAAGGTGCTAGTAATCTAGAAAGGCAAACCTGTTTTATTATGTTTAAACTCTATTGTAGACCAATCCCTATGCCATCTTGAGAGTTTGAGTTTGAATATTTGTTTCTTAATTCTAGAGGCCCATCATAACATAACTCATTGACTCCTAGAAGAAACAGCTAATACTAGAGATGTACAATAGATTTTTCTTGCTCTGGACCCAAATTGAGACTAGAAGTCCCCCAGCTCTCAGCCAGTTACTCCTTCTTTTATGCATGTGTTATTGAGTCCTCCTCTTGCCTCCACACAATGTTATAGGACAGTGCAAATAGCATTTCAGTTTTCACTACCAGAAAAAAATGTGTTTGAGAGAAGCTCTATTCCTAGGAGAGCGGGTTCATTTAGAGAGGGGATCAAGCACATTGCCTTCAGTTGGCCACCCACTCTGGGTAATGAGTTACTGTTGAGAACAGGTTTTGTAAGTGAGTGTTCACATGTGTGTGTATACACACATCATACACAGAGAGAGAGCATACAGAAAGAAAGTAGGTTTCTATTTGCATCTGTTGTGAGGCTCTTTACCCTTTCCTTGCCGCTCTCCTGTACTCACCCAGCAACCATTCTCTCTGTCAGAAGGCATTATGGACATTTTGTTGTCCAGTGCTGATGCAGACTCAGCTAGGGGGCACCTTTAACTTCACTATCCAAAGATGCCTTTTGAATTTAAAGATTAAAACACAACTAGAGAATTTACTATTGTCGTTTTAAAAGTATAGTTCTTGGTGTGAAGTAGAAATGTTGCTTTTCCTATTTTAGTATCGACCTTTTAGCAAGTTAAATTTGATGCCTTATGAACAAATAATTTTATATTATGCTTTAATTTTTTAAAAAATTATTATTCATTCAGATATACAGAATGTTTGAAATAGCACTATAGACAAGATGTTTCCAAAAATGTGAGTGTGCATATCTTTTCTGTACACAGCTTAAAATCAAAAAGATGTAGTAGAGGATTTTTCCATTACTTGTAGATTCTGTTTTAAAATTATTTTTCTTAATATTTATTTTACTCTATGTTATTTTCTTTGGATGAGGCATCTGGTTACAGGTTATTCCTTTTTAAAAAACATACATTCCTGACATCACTCCTTTGGATTATTTTGTTTTCTGTATTTAAAAAACAATTTATTTACCAAATATAAAAATACAGATCTATACCAAATCATTGCCAACTTTTAAACTGACTTTCTTAAGTCCCTTGGTCTGGTATGAGTAACCAGATAAAACAAAAAGCATGAAGTCTTATTTCTCAATCACATGAGCTTTTTAATGACATTGATAATAAATGCCTTTTGTAGCCAGAACCAGGTGTCTCAACCTTGTGTTTTTAAAGAAATGTTTAACCACGTATTGTAAAACTTTGGTTAGTATCCAAAACAGGAGCGGACAACTTTGTGCAATATTTCTTTGCTGTAGTCTAGTTGGTTTTTTCTCATGCGCATGTAATTGATATTCTGCCGAAGATGTGCCTTCAACTTTATAATTATAGTGTTGTAGAAAAACAATGGTGTCAAGTGTCACTATGTTAAATCATCCGGCTCCCTCTCCCAGCAGTTCCACACCACCCTCGTGTTCTCTGCGGTTCTTTGGATATTGTTTCAACTGTAAATCCATGGTGTGTTAAGATCAGAGGTGGTAGCGCACATTCACTGGGAGGACAAAGTCTAGTGTCCTTCCGAATCCCACTCATCTGCCACTGTCACTTAGTGAGAAACATGAATATGCATGGCCTATTCTTTGTGATGCCTAAGAAATTCTGGATATGATGTCTATCCTAAGTGAGCTTTTCTTCATTGGGGGAGTCCTGAGTGGCGTGAAGATCCAGTTTACTGCATAGACTTTTCCTGGGGAGATAGGAGTAAATGTCTACTCATCCCCGATAGGGCACTGAGAACAGACCAAAGTAACAAGTGCACCAAAGCTTGCTGAACCAGTGAGTTTACTGGGCTTACTTACAGGCATATAGGTGACCCCAAAACAGCTTCACTAATTAAAGTCTCAGAGCACAGCTGCTCTATCACCTCCTGACACTGTGCAGCTGGGCAGAATCATGTACAGCTCGGAGGGAGGTGCAGGAGCCAATGGCTGAAATATAAACTGAGGGTGTAAGGACACGCCCCACCCTTCTTGATGGAATGGCTGGCCAGATCTTGAGATTCTTTGGAGTAGTCACAGCTGCCATGCTTGGAGGATGGTATTACACACCACCTAACATCCATTCCCATACCCTTCATGCCCTTGAATTTAAAAGGCTTTTTTTTAAAAAACTCTCTTGTAGCCGGGCGGTGGTGGCGCACGCCTTTAATCCCAGCACTCGGGAGGCAGAGCCAGGCGGATCTCTGTGAGTTCGAGGCCAGCCTGGTCTCCAAAGTGAGTTCCAGGAAAGGCGCAAAGCTACACAAAGAAACCCTGTCTCGAAAAACCAAAAAAAAAAAAAAAACCTCTCTTGTGAGAGATGATTTCTGCCATCCACATCAAATACATGAAATAATTAAGTCAGAAAAGGGAAGCTGGCCAGCAGGATGGACATCTCAGGATTTTACTCTTTTTTTTTTTTTTTCCAGACAGGGTTTCTCTGTGTAACAGCCCTGGCTGCCTAGAACTCACTTTAGATCAGGATGGCCTCAAACTTGGAGATCCGCCTGCCTCTGCCTCCTAAGTGCTGGGATTGAAGGCGTGTGTCAACGCCAGTGGGATTTTACTCTTACGTTCCCGTTTCCCATCCCTTTTCTACCTGATTGAGAAGGCTGTGCTGTGAGAGCAGCAGTTCGGTCAAGGAGGTTGCAAAACCTTCTAGATTTCCCAAAGTGAAGGAGCCTTTGTGCTGGAAATGCTAGGTTAGGACTCAAAGGTCCTCATAGAACGAGGATAGAGACTGAGAAGAAGAATTCGCTCTCCACTTGGACGAGGACCTACCAGCCTTGCTGTGTGTTTTTTCTCTCCATTTGTGCACATGGATCGTGGATTGCAAGGGAGTTACAGAAAGGAAAGTGTCTTTGTTTGTTTGTTTGTTTGTTTGTTTGTTTGTTTTGGAGACAGGCCTCTCGATTATGTAGCCTTGGCTGGCCCGGAACTCTCCATGCTTGGCTTTGAACCCACAGAGATCCACCTGCCTCTCATGTAAAGGCATGTACTGTCTGAAAGGGAAGGAAGGCTCTTGGCCAGGATCAAAGAGCTAGATAGCAGCAGTAGTCACAAGCAGCTGAAAAAATGACCATTTCTGTGCAGTCGGTATCTCCTGGGAGAAGTTTGAAATCAACTGAGCAGCCTTTGGCATTTTGGACCTGTTGCCCTCAAGTGGCTTCACAGTTTTAATTGTCACCACCCTCTGTGCCCCTCAGAAATCCAAGGCTGATTTCTGGAAACTGAATCTGTAAACTTCTGATCTGTAAACTGAAATGCTATCCTCACCCAATCAAAACTCTGAATTTCTTCATTGCCAAGTATAATCAAATATAACAGAAAAGCTGAGTTTAACTCAATCCATTCTAAAGGACCAGTGACTTTTAGAGCTTGCCAGAGGTGTTTGCAATTCATTTAAAAAGCATGCTCTTCAATCCAGATGACTGTAACTACTGAAATGACAAGCAGGCCATGCATATAGAAGAAATTATTTGGGGCTGGTATGTCCAATGATCTAGCTGGGCATGGCATGGTGGCTCACACCTGTTATTACAGCACTCAAGAGGCAGAGGCAGGAGAACTGTCATGTTTGAGTAGCTGGAGTTACATATTAAGTTATAAGCCAGCTTGGGCTACAACATGAGATCTTGTCTTGATAAAGTTGCTATCTTACAATCTAGGAGATCCAAAGTCCAAAAAGGGTGACAGGGATAAAACCAGTTAGTAAAGTTCTGTTCCCTTGAGAGGCTCTGAAAGTGTCTTGAGGGATTTTGGCTTCCAAGCTGCCTGCACTCCTTGGTCCATGGCTCCATCACTGTACTGATCCATCTTCTATTCCCACAGCCATATTTTATACTGTTATCTAACTTTCTGGCTCCTCTTCCAATGACTTGTGAGATTGCTTTGGGTCCACACAGATTATCCAAGGTGATTCCCTCAGGCCCGGATCTTCAACTTAATCATAGCTGCAAAATCCCTTTTCTACCAAAGGTACCAGAGTCATAGCTGCTGGGGATTAGGACCTCTTTGGGGTCTGTAGCTTGGCCTACCATGGTAACCATGGTCAAGTTCCTTGACGTGGCCTGAAAGTCAGTTCCCTCAAGTACAAAATGAGAACAATACTGTCTACCTTGTGGAGTTGTGAGGCTTACCGAGAATGGAAGTGATGTTCCTTTTTTATGAGGCGGAGTTGGTGTTTATTAAAGATAATTTAAAATAGATTTTAAGCCTAAGAGTTATGAGAAAGAGAGGCACTCCAGAAGAAAGTAAGGCACACCCTAGAGTGTGGGTGTGGACTTCTCGAAGAGAGACTCACTGGAGGGGGTATTGCAAAAACACAGTGGTTTCTGTTACTTCCTTGGCCTGAGCACAAGGAAAGAGAAACTGGCCATGCCACTTGGGCGTGTAGGTCCTTTGTTGGTATGGAGCTGTTAGAGTTGTTAATTCTGTACATCACAAAGAGCTTCCCTTGCCTTAGAGAAACCTTCCTATAGTGTGATTTAAGGGGCACCAAAATACCAGCCTCCTTGCCCCACATACTCCCAACAGCAGTCATACACTTTGGGATGCTTAAATTTAACATTGTTAGCCTTCCCTTTTCCTCCATAATTTTTGCTCTTCATGTATGTGCCAGTTGCATTAAAATAACACTGCCACATTGAACTGTAGCAGAATACATTTCTATATTTAAGATCATAACTTTTCTTTTTTTTTTTTTTCAATACAAGGTTTCTCTGTGTAGCTTTGGAGCCTTTCCTGGAACTCACTCTATAGACCAGGCTGGCCTCGAACTCACAGAGATCCGCCTGCCTCTGCCTCCCGAGTGCTGGGATTGAAGGCGGGCGGCACCACTGTGGGCGGCAGCACCATGGGGTCTTGAAGAGAGAAAGCAGTTCTGATTGCAGAGCGCAAAGGGGCCTTTCGTGCTCTTAGCGGGTTTCATGGTCAGCGAGCAGTTCATTTCCATGCTAGAAGTCAGGAAATCATGGGTTAAAATCTCGCTACAATTCAAGTCTGTCTTGGGTCTGTCTGAGCAGTAGGGAAAGTTGGCCAGGCCTTGTCGCCATGAGCAAATCTGAGAAAAGTCACCTCTGTGAGAGCTAGAGTTCTAGCACAGCTGCATGTCAACTCCCTGGAGAGATTTGCAAGGGGCGTGGCCTGACTTCAGGGAGAAATAAAGGCAACTAGAGATGTGTGATCTAACAGCACTGGTTACATTTGGACTCCTCCTCCTCGGCATGTCAGGTAGCTCAATGGGTAAAGGCACTGGCTGCCCAAGCCTCGTGACCTGAGTTTTTATTCTTGGAGCCCACATACAGGTGGTAAGAGAAACCTACTCCCATTTTGTCCCCTGACCTCAATGTGAATGCTGTAGCATGTATGCAGAACACACACACAAGAATAATTTTAAGAAATCTGTTAAGTGTTGCTACTCCCAGGGCGGACCCAGGTGCTAGCATCACCTGGGGGCTTGTGAGAAATTCAAGTTCCCAAGCCCCAGCCGAGACTGAATAAACCAGAACCTGCCTGTTGACAGAGTCCCAGATGACTTGTGTAAGCATGAATTTTAGCAGCCAGGAGGTCAAAACAGGAGGACCAGATCTTAAGATGCTTAAGACCCTCTTCCTTTCTCCAAAAGAAGACACCCACAGAAAGCAGTTAATACATGACAGCACCGACTCTGTGTGTTGGGGTGAACTGGAAATACTTATAAGTCTGTCAGGGACCCACCTTCAGTAGTAGCTATCTGTCTTTCTCCCGCTCTCCTATGAGTTCTGGGTAGAACTTACATTTAAAATTTGCCCAGATATTTGTTAAAATGAAGGTTCTTTATTCTTTCATTCATTCAATAAATATTGGATGTCATTGTGTAAGAGGCACTGTTCCAAATGTTAATCATACATTAGAGCACAAAACATTAAAAACAAAAACCAAAGCATTGCCTCCAGGGGTCTTAGATTCTGGTGTAGTAAGACAAATGATAAACAAAATATTTACTATGATAGATGATAATAATTTGTATTAGTTTTCTGTCACTGTGATAAAATATGTGGAGGGGATCTATTCATCTTCTGGAGGGGGAGTAGCCAGAAAGAGACAGAGGTCCCCCTGTGGTGAGTGGAAACCATCTTTTATGTTCGTCTGGGCTCTTTCCCACCCTGCTCCCAGAATGGAGTGGACCGACAGCGTACAGAACCAATGGGAGCTAACTTACTGTTCGTATAGGATTACAACCATTAAACAGATAACACAAGTTCAAATTGATTGTCATGTGGGCTTAAATGAAGCAAGTCTGAACTCAGTAATGCAAGGGATGCTGGGTGAGAGCTGTTACAGCTCAGAGAAGTGTTGCCCTTCAAAGCTCTGAAGGCACTGAGATGCC